GGGCTGTGCGCCGTGAGGTTGAAATTCCGCACGGGGGCCAGGTGCGGTGGCACTCCTGTCGTCGCAGCACTCTGGGAGGCCGAGGCAGGAGGATGGCGAGACTGAGCCCAGCCTGGGCAACTTCAGCTTAGCAAGGCCCTGTCTCAAAATAAAATATGCAAAGGGCTCGGGAGGTAGCTCAGTGCAAAGGCCTGTGTTCAATCCCCGGTACTGGAAAAAAATTCTCACTGGAATCCTGGAGGGGAGGGACTGGGCCGGCAGGGCTGAGATGGAAGGGTCCAGGGGGTCTCGGCCAGGGAGGCCCCAAACTCGGGCAGGGAGGGTTTTGAAGGTCAGAGCCCAGCATCTCCCTGGGAACTGCACACCGGAGGGCTGGGGTCCAGGGCAGCCGGCCTGAGGGGTCTGCCGCCTGCCGCCTCCCCTGCAGCTGACCAACGCAGGGGATGATGTGGTCGTGTTCTACAATGACAAGGCCTCGCTGGCCCACCTGCTGGACATGATGAAGACCGCTCGTGACGGCGTGGAGGACCACAGCCCCCTAATGTACCACATCTCCCTGGTGGACCTGCTGGCCGCCTGTGCTGAAGGCAAGAATGTCTACACTGAGATCAAGTGCACGTCCCTGCTGCCTCTGGAGGACGTGGTGTCCGTGGTGACACATGAGGACTGCATCACCGAGGTGGGGTGGTGTGGTGGCATGGGCAGGGGCAGGCGGGGCCCGGGGACAGCGCCTGGCAGGGCCCGAGTGAGCCCAAACCGCGCACTGTGCCCAGGTGAAGATGGCCTATGTGAACTTCGTGAACCACTGCTACGTGGACACGGAGGTGGAAATGAAGGAGATCTACACCAGCAACCACATCTGGACCCTCTTCGAGAGCTTCACCCTGGACATGGCGCGGGTCCGGCCCTGGGGCGGGGTGGGGCAGGGCAGGGTGTGCAGTGCTCCGTGTGCTGACCCTGGAGCCCTCTCCTCCCCTAGGTGTGCAACCGGCGTGAGAAGCGCCTGGCAGACCCTGCCCTGGAGAAGTATGTGCTGACGGTTGTGCTGGACACCATCAGTGCCTTCTTCAGCTCCCCCTTCTCTGAGAACAGCACCTCGCTGCAGGTGAGTGGCTCTCGCCTGGCCTTGCAGCCTGGGGAGCAGGGAGGAAGAGCAGTGGTAGTTGCACTGAGTGCCTGCGGATGCACAAGTGTAACAGCTGTCTGTGCTGTGTGAGGAGTCACCCCCAAGTTCAGCTGAAAAGAGTGTGCATCACCTCACAGTGGCAGTGGGCACTATACTGCAAACAGGAAGTCCCGTTCAGGGGTAGGGACAGTCCTGGGGTGGCAGGGGACAGTGTGTAGCATTTCCTCAGCAAAGACACGGAGGGCAGGGGTCTGACAGGCACGAAGGTACAGGTGGCTGGTGACGGCCCACATCCCCATCCTCTGCGGCCTTGTCATGGCCCTGGGGCCGCCCGGTGGGGGCTGAGCCAGAGCGGTGGCTGTGTGGCTTCTTGCAGACACACCAGACCATCGTCGTGCAACTGCTGCAGTCCACCACGCGGCTGCTTGAGTGCCCGTGGCTGCAGCAGCAGCACAAGGGCTCCGTGGAGGCCTGCATCCGAACCCTTGCCATGGTGGGTGAGTACGCCTGGCCGCAGCTCCACGCGCCCCCTCCTGGCGCCTGGGGATGCAGGGCACCTGCCCTCACACGGGGCCCACACCTGCCCCAGGTGCTTCTCAGCACGTCCTCTCCAGTGGCGTCTGCTCTCAGAGGGGACAGCTGCGTGGCACTGCCCAGCTCGAGGGCTGTGTTTTGCTTTTGTGCTCACATACGGTCCCAGGTGGTGGGGTGGCCTGGCCAGTTTTGGGGAGAGCTGGGGAAGAGGAGCAAGAAGGGGGAGCAGGGACGCCCAGAGGGGTCATGGTGGAGTCAGAGGCTGAACTGCCTATAATTTCTTTTTCTTCCTTTTCTTTACCTTTTTTCCTTCCTCCTTCCCCATCTTCCACTGTCCCTTCCCACCTTTTTTCTGTGTCTTACTTTACTTTCGTTGCTAAGACAAAATACTCCACGCAGAGTTAAAGGGGGAAAGGTTTTTTAGCTCATGGTGTGTAGAGGTTTCATAATCAGCTGGCTCCAAGGCCGGTGGCTTGGCAGAGGGGCCTCCCAGAGGAGAAACAGTCCATGGCAGGCAGAGGAGGGCAGAAGCGGCAAGGCACCTTAACAGCGTCTCCCGCCCCTTTTATCCAGGCTACTCAGGGTGGGCAGTGCTTGCTCACACCCTTAACCAAGTGCCCTTGACCCAGCATCGCACAGTCAGTCCCAGTGTCACCCTAGAGGCAGCCACCTCTGCAAAGCCCCACCTGTGACCAAATGAGGCTTTGCGGGGACAGCTAGACACAGCTGTAGCACTGCGATACTGGGGACTGAACCCAGAGCTTTCACTCTGGGCTGCGTTCCAGCCCTTTTTACTTACTTATTTTTATTTTTTTATTTTTTGGTACTGGGGATTGAACTCGGGTCCTTGTGCTTGCGAGGCAGGCAGTGGGACCACTGAGCTAAATCCCTGGCCTCCAGCCCTTTTTAGAACACTTTTTTGAGACAGGATCTTGCTAAGTTGCCCCAGCTGGGCTCAAACTTGTCATCCTCCTTCCTCAGCCTCCCAGAGTGCTGGGCTTACGGGCATGCACCCCGATGCCCAGCTGGTTTCTTACCCCAACAGGGGAAGAGAGCACCTCAGGCCCTCGAGTGGGAGCCGGTGGAGTGGGGTCCTCACCCCTTGGTGTGGGGTGCCCTGCCCCTGACCCTGTCTCCCACAGCCAAGGGCCGGGCCATCTCGCTGCCCATGGACCTGGATGCCCACATCAGCGCGCTGCTCAGCAGTGGTGCCAGCTCTGCTGCAGCCGCCCAGCGCAACGCTGCCAGCTACAAGACAGCCACCCGGACCTTCCCCCGCCTCACCCCTGCCACCAACCAGTGGGACTACAAGAACATCATCGAGAAGCTGCAGGTGGGGCCTCGGGCTTGAGTCCTGTCTGGTCCTATGTGGCCCCCTGTGGCGGAGGCGGAGCGGGCCGGGGTCTGGAGCCCTTGCTCGGCAGCCTGCCCCGCCCACACTGCATCTGTCCAGCTCGCTGGCCTGTAAGGGAGTGCGGTGCAGGACACAGGCGCTCGGAGAGGGCAGTTCGCCCAGGTCACACAGCCAGAGGAGGGGCCAGGAGCGAAGCCAGGCTTGGGATGGGCTTTACCGGGGAGGCTGTGGTCCGGGCAGGGCCTCAAGCAGGGCAGGGAGCTATGTGGGTCTGCGGGGTGTGGCGGGGTGGCCATCGTGCTGCGGTGCTCTCCCGGCGGTGACCCTGCCCGCCTGCCCGCCGAAGGACATCATCACGGCCCTGGAGGAGCGGCTGAAGCCCCTGGTGCAGGCCGAGCTGTCCGTGCTGGTGGACGTCCTGCACTGGCCCGAGCTGCTCTTCCCGGAGGGCAGTGAGGCCTATCAGCGCTGCGAGAGCGGGGGCTTCCTGTCCAAGTGAGCAGGGGCGGCAGGGACACAGGGGCCTGGGCCAGGGAGGGCTTGTGGGCCGGGTTGGGGGTGTGCGAGGGAGGCACGGTGGCTGAGCTGCCTCCCCGGCCAGGCTGATCCAGCACAGCAAGGGCCTCATGGAGTCGGAGCAGAAGCTGTGCACCAAGGTGCTACGCACCCTGCAGCAGATGCTGCTCAAGAGGAACAAGTATGGTGACCGGGTGAGTGCCGTGGCGGGCAGAGGTGGGCGGCTGGGTGCCAGGCCAAGGGGGCCACCATGGCATCTCACTCCCTTCTTCCCCAGGGCAACCAGCTGCGCAAGATGCTGCTGCAGAACTACCTGCAGAACCGGAAGTCCAGCTCTCGTGGGGAGCTCCCAGACCCCATGGGCACCGGTCAGTGCTGCACGCCCGCCCAGCCCCCAGGCCTGGCCCCCCTCCACCACCCCAGCAGCCCTCCCTCAAGTGCATCCCCTCCAGGCCTGGACCAAGACTGCTCAGCGATCGGGGCCACCCAGTGCCGGCTGGACAAGGAGGGGGCCACCAAGCTGGTGTGTGACCTCATCACTAGCACCAAGAATGAGAAGATCTTCCAGGAGAGCATCGGCCTGGCCATCCGCCTGCTGGATGGGGGCAACACTGAGATCCAGGTGTGGGCTGGTGGGGGCCGCATGCGCGCCGGGGCACTTCCTGCTTGGAGAGGGCCAGGTGCCGAGCCTCTGGTGCCCAGCTCAGCCCTGGCTCCTCCAGAAGCCCAGCCAACTGCTTTACCCTTGTCCCTCACCACCTGCACGCCCGGCAGCATTCCAGGCACGGAGGGCTCAGTAGTAAAAAGAGCCAAATCTGTGTTTCTTGGTGCTTACACCCCAGGGGGGGACACAGGTGCTAAGGTGACCACAGGCTGTACGGAGAGCAGGGCAGGTCGGCTCGTGGCCGGGGTTACGTCACAGGGAGGGACAGGGACAGTGATGGAGGCAGAAGCTCACTGGGCGGGGCAGGTGGTGGCGCAGGGCTGCAGGGTGGGGAGCGCAGAGGACCTGGGGCCTGAGGGGCCCGGCCCTCGCCTGGCCTCATGGGCACTGAGGCCGTGGCTTTTGTTCAGGGGAGGTGGGACCACTGCAGCTTTGGGGTGAGACTCGGAGGTCATGGGGATCCCTCTGGCTGCGTGTGGGGAGCAGACAGGAACAAAGGGGCACCGGACTGGAGGAGGCCGTGCAGGGCTCCAGCTCAGACCGGGCAGTCCTCCCTCAGGCCCTTCCTTCCCCGCCCACCCCTGACAGCCTCCGGAGGGCGCGGGTGTCGGGTGTCCCTGTGTCCTGCCAGCCTTGGAGCCTGGGGCACTGGGAGCCACGTGTGCTGCCCTTGCTCCTGCAGCCAGGTTGGGGCCCTTAGAGTTGAGCTGTTCCCCATCTTCCTGTCCCCCAGAAATCCTTCTACAACTTGATGACAAGTGACAAGAAGTCAGAACGCTTCTTCAAGGTGCTGCATGACCGCATGAAGCGGGCGCAGCAGGAGACCAAGTCCACGGTGGCCATGAACATGACCGACCTGGGTAGCCGGCCTCGGGAGGACCATGAGCTGGCCGACCCCACCGCCAAAGGTCAGGGGTGCAGGATGCAGAGCGGGGCTCCCCTCGGGGAGCGGCACAAGCGTGAGGGCGAAGGGCTGGGGCTTCCAGCAGCCCCCTCACCAGCTCCCACCCCCACCCCCAGGCCGCGTGACCTCCTTCTCCATGCCTGGCTCCCCGTACTCGCTGGGCCCCAGCCTGCGCAGGGGGCATGAGGCGAGTGAGCGCACACAGAGCAACGAGATGGGCACATCGGTGCTCATCATGCAGCCCATCCTGCGCTTCCTGCAGCTGCTGTGTGAGAACCACAACCGCGACCTGCAGGTGAGCATGTGCTGCACCTGGCCAGCCCCCACCTGCCTCCGCACACTGAGGCCGCCGTGCCCAGAACCCATCGCCTGGCTGGGCACAGCTGCTCGGTGGCTGCTGACTCCCTGCGATCGTGTCCCCTCCCGAGGGCCCCGGAGACCGCCCTGCCCACTGTCTGCTCCACAGAACTTCCTGCGCTGTCAGAACAACAAGACCAACTACAACCTGGTGTGCGAGACGCTGCAGTTCCTGGACATCATGTGCGGCAGCACCACCGGAGGCCTGGGGCTGCTGGGGCTCTACATCAACGAGGACAACGTGGGCCTTGTCACCCAGACCCTGGAGACCCTCACGGAGTACTGCCAGGGCCCCTGCCACGAGAACCAGGTGAGCCCGTGGTGGGGTGGGCAGTGCCCAGCTGCAGGGCGGTGTGGCCCTGTGGGTGGTGCAGCGGGTGCAGCGGCTGCAGCGGGGAGGAGGCGAGCCCCAGCCACCGCGGTCCTGAGGGGTCGGGCTGGGCCCCCCACTGCCTCCTGCCAGACCTGCATCGTGACGCACGAGTCCAACGGCATAGACATCATCACGGCACTGATCCTCAATGACATCAGCCCCCTGTGCAAGTACCGGATGGACCTGGTGCTGCAGCTCAAGGTGGGGCCCAGCGGTGTGCGTGCGGCATGTGCCCGGGACCCGCGCGTGTGTGCTGTGGCCGTCTCACGTGTGCACGCCTGAAGTGGGGGAAGGTCGCGGTAGACTGGGGGCCGCAGCAGTGTGAGGAGGAGGTTGTGGGGCACATAGTGGGGGCCCTGAGACTGTGCCCACGCCCACCACCCCCAACAGGACAACGCCTCCAAGCTGCTCCTGGCCTTGATGGAGAGCCGGCACGACAGCGAAAATGCAGAGCGCATCCTCATCAGCCTGCGGCCCCAGGAGCTGGTGCGGCTGGGCCCGGGGCGGGCGGGAGGATGGGACTGAGCAGAGGGCCCGGCCGGACCCACTGCCCAGGAGGAGGGCATTCGAGCAGGTGCTGGCCCCCAGGTGGACGTCATCAAGAAGGCCTACGTGCAGGAGGAGGAGCATGAGAACTCGGAGGTGAGCCCGCGAGAAGTGGGCCACAACATCTACATCCTGGCGCTGCAGGTATCCGCCCCCGGGCCCCGCCCCCGGCCCCGCCCCGAGGCCACTCCCCGCCCCTTAACTGCTCTGCCTTCTCCAGCTCTCCAGGCACAACAAACAGCTGCAGCACCTGCTGAAGCCGGTGAGGCGCATCCAGGAGGAGGAGGCCGAGGGCATCTCTTCCATGGTGGGTGCCGGGGGGTGGGGCGGGGCGGAGCTTAGACCTGGCGGCAGGTGGGTGGGCTAGCAGTATGGGAACAGGGGTGAGGGCGCCACCCGAGGGTGAGGATGAGGCCAGAGGTGAGAAACGAGGGTCAGTGGTTACCTGGGGCAGGCGGGGAACTCGGAGGGGCTGCCCCCCAAGGCAGCATGGGAAGCCCGATCAGAGTTGGGCAAGATTTGAGGGGTGGGGCTCGGAGGCAGGAGCTGGATGCTGACAGACGTGGAAGCCAGGCCTGCGTGGGTCTGGTCAGGGCTGGGCACCTCCAGCAGGGCCCAGGCTGCACCCTGGCAGGCCGGGAGGGGCGCGGGTCACCCTGTGGGCTTCTCTGGCCCAGGCCCCTCCACTCCCCTTTGGCACCTGACCCTGAGCTGGGTCCTGGCCGGGTGGGCTCGGGTGGCACTTCCTGAGTGGACTTTGGAGCGGGGCTCAGGCCATGCTTGGCTGTCGGGCATCTGGCCTGACTGGAGCCCTCTGGGACCCCAGCTCAGCCTCAACAACAAGCAGCTGTCTCAGATGCTCAAGCCCTCGGCACCAGCGCTGGAGGAAGAAGAGGACCCGCTGGCCTACTACGAGAACCACACGTCGCAGATCGAGGTGGACCACGGCCCCGGGGCTGGGGAGCAGGGCCTCGGCCAGGGGTGACCTCGGCCTTGTGTGCAGATCGTGCGGCAGGACCGCAGGATGGAGCAGATCGTGTTCCCGGTGCCCGCCATCTGCCAGTTCCTGACGGAGGAGACCAAGCACCGGCTCTTCACCACCACGGAGCAGGACGAGCAGGGCAGCAAAGTGAGCGACTTCTTCGACCAGTCCTCCTTCCTGCACAACGAGATGGAGTGGCAGCGCAAGCTCCGCAGTGAGCACCGGGCGGGAGGGCGGCGTTCACAGGTCCCTGGATGACACCCTGCAGCCTCTGGGCCTTCTGCTGCTGGGTGCTTGGTGCCACCCCACCCTGGGCAGGGGCTCTTCCGATCACACCACCCTCCGGAAGGGGAGCGTGTGAGGGCAGAGGGCCTCGGGGACCCCACACCAGTGTCCACCCTTCCGCCCAGGCATGCCGCTGATCTACTGGTTTTCCCGCCGCATGACCCTGTGGGGCAGCATCTCCTTCAACCTGGCGGTGTTCATCAACATCATCATCGCCTTCTTCTACCCTTACGTGGAAGGCGCATCCACAGGTGAGGGAACAGGCAGGTGTGAGCCAGGAACCAGATGTGGCAGCAGCTGGAAGGCACCGTCCTTAGGTCCTGAGATGCAGTAGTGGAGGCGGCTGAAACCAGGCACCGGGAACTTAGTAGTAGTAGTAGGAAGGGGGATTCGGGGTCTTGGGGGCTGCGCTGGGGCTGTGGTGTGCTGGACTGAGCCCCGCCCCCTGCTTTCCTGTCTCCCAGGCGTGCTGGGCTCCCCGCTCATCTCGCTGCTTTTCTGGATCCTCATCTGCTTCTCCATCACCGCCCTGTTCACCAAGCACTACAGCATCCGACCCCTCATTGTGGCACTCATCCTGCGCTCCATCTACTACCTGGGCATCGGGCCCACGCTCAACATCCTGGGCACCCTCAACGTGAGTGCCACCCTGCACAGCTGCCACTCTGCCCCAGAGAGGAGGGGCTCTAAGCTCCTTACAGCTCACAGCTGGGGGCAGCCCGTACTAGACAGACAGTCAGGAGCCTCAGGGCTGCCGTGTGCACCGTGCTGCCTGTCACTGTCCAGAGACACTGGACACAGGGACGTCACAGATTGGTGGATGAGGGCAGGGGCCCTTTCCTGACTGGCAGGTCACTATGACAGCTGTGGACTGTGCCGTCCCCCGCTCCTGTACCTGACCTCACCCTTCCTGAATGCTGCTCTGAGTCCCCGGAGCCCAGGCACGCTCTGGGCTGGCATCGGAGAGGGCTCAGGGGGCACGTTGGGGCCCTGATCCCAGTGCCCTGCACTCACCCCCAGCTGACCAACAAGATCGTGTTCGTGGTGAGCTTTGTGGGCAACCGCGGCACCTTCATCCGGGGCTACAAGGCCATGGTCATGGACGTGGAGTTCCTGTACCACGTGGGCTACATCCTGACGAGCGTCCTGGGCCTCTTTGCCCATGAGCTCTTCTACAGCATCCTGGTGAGCCTGCCACGTGGCTGGGCTGGGCAGGGTGTAGGGGCAGCAGGCTCCCCACGAGCTGCTAGCAGGTCCCCAGCTCCAGTTTCTTGTCAGCCCCTGCTGCTCCAGGAGGAGTGGGTTTCCAGAGTCCTCCTGCACCTCCCCCCAGCCTGGCCCTCCAGGCCCTCATCCCCCTCTGGCCCTGCCCGCCCCAACTCTCCACGGCTCTGCATCCAACTTGACCACTCCTGGCTATGTGAACCCTGGGCAAGTCTCCTCACCGCCCTGTGGTTCAGTTTCCCCATCTGTGAAGTGGAGACAGCACCTCTGCCTTCCAGAATAACTGAGCTGTGGGCTGAGATGAGCTAATCGTGGAAAGCACTTAGGGTGCACCCAGTGCCCAGCAAGTGCACTGTGGGTCGCTGTCCTTCGCCCTGTGGCTGGTGCCCACCCGCCGTGCCACTCCACGTGCCTTCCTCTGGTCTTGGAGCTCCAGCTTCTGCCAATTCCTCCTGCCTCAGTGCAGACCCCAGGGCAGCCTGCAGGGTCAGGCACTGCCCCCCGGGAGGGCCCGGCCCAGCCCCTCAGTGCTCCATCCCCGCCTGGCAGCTCTTCGACCTCGTCTACCGTGAGGAGACGCTGTTCAATGTCATCAAGAGTGTGACCCGCAACGGCCGCTCCATCCTGCTGACCGCCCTGCTGGCCCTCATCCTCGTCTACCTCTTCTCCATCGTGGGCTTCCTCTTCCTCAAGGACGACTTCATCCTCCAGGTGGACCGGCTGCCGGGCAACCACTCCCGAGGTCTGGGGGCCTCCCGGCGCCGTGTGGGGCAGGCCTGGGGCTGCAAGGGACGTGTGACTCCGCTGGGTTCTGGGGAGCTTGGCTCCTGCCTAGGTGCTGGGCCCAGGGCCGCAGGATCAGGCAAGGCCTCCTGGAGCGTGTGATGCTGGGACAACCCCGAGGGTCCTCGTGGTGACCTTGTCCCTGCCCCTCCAGCCAGTCCCCCAGGGGCGCCAGAGGGAGCTGCTACATTTGTAGACACGTGCAGCGGGGACAAAATGGACTGTGTGACGGAGGTCACGGTGCCCAAGGTCCTGGAAGGTGAAGATGGCATGTCTGGGGGCGTTGGGAGCGCAGGGCAGATGCCAGTGTCCTGGGTCTGAGGACACTGTCCACTCACAGAGGACGAGGAGCCCGACAGCACGGAGCGGGCCTGTGACACTCTGCTCATGTGCATCGTCACCGTCATGAACCACGGGCTTCGCAATGGTGGCGGCGTGGGCGACATTCTCCGCAGGCCCTCCAAAGACGTGAGCACCTGCTCTGGCCCCAGCCAGGCCGGCGCTGGAGAGGGACACCTGTGCTTGGGATGCAGCCTGGCTCCCCCAGGCTGTGCGGAAGGCCGGTTCCTTGCCTCCCTCCCCAGCCAGTTTCCAGGGAGATTGTTCCCACCCCTCTTCCTCCCAGCTCGCTGCAGACCCAGGAGAGACCTTGGCAACCAGACCTGGCCCCAGGGCCGGGAGCTGTGAGTCAGGCAGAGGCTCCCCGGTTTCTGGCCTCTCCACAGCCGGAGGCAGGGTGGGAAGCTGAGTCAGCTTCGAGAGGCGGCTGGGGATCTGGGATGAGCGTTAGTCCACCCCCAGTCGCCTGTCCTATCCTGCCTGGCCAGGTTGGGGGCCCTGGGCCCAGCCTCGCTGTCTGCCCTGCAGGAGTCCCTGTTCCCGGCCCGAGTAGTGTACGACCTGCTCTTCTACTTCATTGTCATCATCATCGTGCTGAACCTCATCTTCGGGGTGATCATCGACACCTTCGCTGACCTACGCAGCGAGAAGCAGAAGAAGGAGGAGATTCTCAAGACCACGTGCTTCATCTGTGGTGAGGCCCGTGGCTGGCGCTGCTAGCCATCGGGGATTCACTGGGTGCAGGGCCGGAGGGTGCCAGCTCAGCCCGGACCTGGGGATGGTAACTGTGCCGCACTTGAGTGACAGAGGGAGTGGCAGGGGCGGCAGCGACCCTCACTTCTGACTGGGCTCACAATGAGGGACTTGAAGCCGTCACTGGCCTCGAGCGGCAGGTGTCTGGCCAGTGCTCTCCCCGGCCCTCAGGTGGAGGTGTCACCTGCAGGACACACCCCGCATTTGTGGCATTACTCCCAGAGTCCCAGCTGCCTTTGCGGGAGGGCTGCAGCTGGCCATAGCAGGGGTGTGCCTTGAACAGTGACCCAAGTCACCCAGAGAAGTGTTCATCGTGAGAACAAGGGTCCCTCCCCCAGTTGGCCCCGCGTGGCGCTTGGAGGCTGATGCCCCCTGCCCCCAGGTCTGGAGAGGGACAAGTTTGACAACAAGACGGTGTCCTTCGAGGAGCACATCAAGCTGGAGCACAACATGTGGAGCTACCTGCACTTCATCGTGCTGGTGCGTGTGAAAAACAAGACAGACTACACGGGCCCCGAGAGCTACGTGGCGCAGATGATCAAGGTGCGAGGGGCCTCTGGCCGTGGTTTCCTGTCCCCTGCGTGCTGGAGGAGTGGCCACATCTGTCCACACAGTCCTGCAAGGCCGAAAGGTGGACAGCTGTGGACACCTGTTGGAAAGTCAGCTGGGGGTGAGCAGCAGCTGGACCAGCCCAGCTCCATGCGGCCCACAGCACCTGCTGCTGCGTGCGCACAACCTCACGTCCTAGTGTCGGGCAGGCAGACCGGGCATAAGTGTCGATGCCAAGGATGAGGGCTGTCCCTGGGCCAGAGGGTGCAGCAATGCTGAGGAGCCGTGCAGTAGGGGGCCTCTAGCTGGGCAAGAGAGGGGCAGCTTCCTGACATTGAATGGTCCTGGCCCGAGGAGCCTGGAAACCCTGCAAAGGTCAGGCTCCGTGAGTTAAACAGAGTGTGTCTGACTGCCAGTCCCGGAGGGCCAAGGCAGGGAAGGCAGAGGGAGAGCTCTGCTTGCCTCGTACAGTTGTATTTTGGCTGCTCTTGTGTACAGCTTTATCTGATGCCCTGGAGATTCTGTTTGCAACAAGGACCCAAAAACTGCTTGGTGGCCCGCCCCTCCCATCACGGGAGACGTGGCTTTGCCTTGCAGACACGTGTCCATGCCAGCCCTCGCCAGTGGAGCCGCTGCTCCCTGTCTGCCATCTGTCTGACTCGTGTCTTCCGGGGGTGTGGGGCAGAAGGAAGGAAGGAGATCCGAGGTCTGGGTGTGGAGGCCTCCCTGCACCACCATCAGGGAGTAAACAGACGATGCCGGGAAGGCTCAGGCTCAGGCTCAGGCTCAGGCCAGCTCCTCTCACCGAGGAGGCCCCAGGTCAATTCAGATTCCCCATGACCGCTCACGGCCAGGAATTTTGTCAAGTGTGTGGCAGAAGCCCACCCCTGAATCAGTTTTCCAAAGCGAGGTGCTGCTGCTCTGGAGCCTGCTCACGATGCACGGGTCTCTTGCAGAACAAGAACCTGGACTGGTTCCCGCGGATGCGGGCCATGTCCCTGGTGAGCAGCGAGGGTGAGGGCGAGCAGAACGAGATCCGGATCCTCCAGGACAAGCTCAGCTCCACCATGAAGCTGGTGTCCCATCTCACCACCCAGCTCAACGAGCTCAAGGAGCAGGTGCATGCCCTCTCCTGTCCGCCCTGGGCCCACCTCAGGGTCCCACCAGTAACCTCAGCTCCCACGTGGGCGGAAGGGAGGTGCTGGGGTCCCCTGCCAGGTCCGGAACACCCTCTCCTCCCTGGGGAGCTGGGCTGGGCAGCCCCTGCAAGTCAGGCCGAGGGGGGTGGCCCCTTCTCCTGCAGCTGCCCCGCAGTGTCCCCAGGCACTCTGGCGAGGGGAGGCTCAGGCCCAGAGCAGCCGCCTCCACATCTGATGTCTGCGCGGGAGGGGGTGGCCCCTCTTGTAGGTGGGGTCTCTCCCAGCTGTGCCCAGTCGTTTGTGCCATGCTAACTGAGAATCAGTGTTTGAGGCTGACATCTGTGCTGAAGGGCAGCGGGGTCCAGGGGACGGGGGTGCCAGCATCCTGACCGGGTACCTGTTTGACCCCAGATGACAGAGCAGCGCAAACGCAGGCAACGCCTGGGCTTCGTGGACGTCCAGAACTGCATGAGCCGCTGAGGAGAGCCTGAGAAGGCCCGCAGGGGCCGTGTCACTGGAGGCTGGCTGGGAACAGGGCTCTCCCTCTGGTCAGGCAGCTGGGCTGCCCGCCAGGCCCTCACAACGAGGTGCCCACCTCCCACTGTGCCAGTCCCCTCACCCCCAGCCAAGGCTGCCACCAGCCAGGAGGGAGCCTTAGCACTGACAGCCTTAGAGACAGGGAAATTCCTGGGACTCAGTTTACCTAAAGCCTTCAGAGCAATAACTGACACTGCTTCGTAGTCCGAGTGGGTGGTTAGGAGTAGGCCGCTCTCTAAGCACTACATTTTGGTTGCTGCCCACCGCTGGAGGAGGTGGCAGTATGCTGACTAGATTTTAGGGCCTTCTTATTTAACTTATTCTGAGGGGCGTGCCCGGCTCCCTGCCTGGGTCTGCTGTGGACTGTGTGCAGATGCCCTGCCCTCTCTTGTGACCTCTCCCCGGCTCCTGGGGATGGGCTGAGCCCCGAGTGGCCGCTTTTGACTCCTGGTTTTTCTTTTGGTGTAATGTTTTACAGCCCTTTGTCCCCAGAACTAATATGTTAATTGCCTTAAATAAATTACTAGAAATCTAGTCCATGAAGGAGGGATATTTTCTTTACTTTCCCAGGCAGTGGGGATGAACGGGCACCATCATAACTGGCAGAGGACAGAACTGCTCTTCCCTGCTGGCCAGGTGGCTCTCGGCACTCGGGAGACGCTGTGACCTGTGTCCCACAGCAACTGCTACCCAGACCCCAAGGACAGATGTGTAGTTTGCTGTAACCGCTTTCCACTGTAATCCTCTATTTTATCCCATGTATGTGACAGCACCGCAAGGTGTCTAGGGACTCCTCGCACTGTGTGCCAAGGAGGGCTCTGTCAGAGCATGCTGCTCCGTGCAGTAATGCAGCTGTGTGTCCCTGGACAGCAGGGCCTCTGTCCTGTGACCTTCCGCGGCACCTGCTGCGACCTGAGGCCCCACTTGGCCAAGGCCTGCCTGGAGCCCTGCTGTCCTTCAGCCACCTGGGCACATGGGGCAGAGGCCCGAGCTCTGCCCTGGTCAGTGGGGACGGGGGCCAAGCAGGGTCCTTGTATGTCGGCCTCCCTGCTGCTTTCTGTTTGCGACACGATGCCCTCTTCAGTTTTTACTGCTGCTCTGGGCTTCTGGCCAGTAGCTCCTGCAACAACAACAGGAGCCTGAGAACCTTGATGGCTGCAGACCCCTGGCCAGGCGGCTCCTGGGGCCGTGCAGGAAGCACCCTGTGACCCTTACCCTTCTCAGGCCTCGCTGGGGTCTGTGTTTCCTCTGCCTGAGCCACATGCTCACTCGGCATCCTTGTGCAGGCTGAAACTCCTTCCTTTTGCTGAGGGCTACACCAGTGAGGCTGGGGGAAGTCAGGAGGTTTTATTGACAAGAGCAACGTACAAGACTCCAGTTAGGTCGGCGGGCGAGTCAAGACCCGAGCCCAGGCCTTGTGCTTCTCCTCGGGACTCTTGGGGACAAACTTCTCCCGCAGTTTCTTCCACAGCCCTTTATTCATGTCCTTAAACTCTTCCAGGGTGTCTGCATGGGAGACAGAGACACACACAAGTCTGAAACCTGATGATGTGGGTGGCCCACGGGGCTTTCCACACGGACACTCCTCACGTGCCACATGGCGCATCCCTGGGAAAGGAAGTAGGGACCCAGCCCTGAAAGGCAGGTCTGCAGGGGGAGCGGAAATGAGTTTGAGGTGACCAAGCACAGTGCCTCAGTGTCAGCCGCCCTCCTAACCCTCAGCGTCGCAGCAGGGCCTGCTCCTTGTCCCTCTGAAGCACTTCGCAAGGTGCAGAAGCGGCACTGAGGTGTCAGCTTTGGAATCCACGACTTGAGCACAATACTTGGCCCTTTCCCCGCAGACCTTAGTCTCCAATTTGCCGATGTGGAAACTGAGTTGAGGGAGGGTGAGTGACCTGCTCAGGTGGAAGAGCTAGAAAGGGGATTTGAACCTGGGCAGTGCAGGTTCACTGCCTGCTGAGCAGTGAGCGGGCAGCAGGCAGGGGTGGACTTAGGCCTGGGTCCCGACCATCATTTCCGCAGGAACCCTAAGCAAATCACTCAGCCCTGGAAGCCGGGCTTCCTCATCTGAAAAGTGAGGACGAAAATACCCCAAGGTTGTGAGGTTTAAGGGAACAGTGGGGTTGCCTGGCCCTCGCTGGAAAGGTAGCCGCCTTCACCACCATGGCGGCAGCAGGGCCCTGAGAGCCTGTGGGCCGGGCCCGGCAACAGCTACCGCACTGATCGCCCACAAAGCAGGTTCCCTGGCCTTCGCACTGCTGACTGCGGGCCAGGCAGTATCTATCAAGGCTGCCTGCAGCAGAGGCCAGTGGCACGCCTTCCCTAGCAGATGTGAAAACTAAACTCCAGATGTCGCCACATGTCTGGGGGTAGAGGGTGTCTCTCGCCCAGCAGAGAAGCCCTGGTCTAAAATATCTCCAAGGCTAAGGTTCCCTGATAGCTAGATATGCTCCTGCTGTTTAGCTTTCAGAGCCTGCATCTTCATCTGTCAAAATGTATAGACAAGAATAGTTTTTTGAACCAAAAGAGGTACCTTCCATTATCTGCTGCCACTTCGGTCAGTGTCTCCTGATTAAACTGGATGTGCACTACACCTCAACCACGAGCGCAGCCTCTAGCCCTGGGACTTTTCTGGAAGCCCAGTTCCCATATTGGGGACAAAACATGACACCGTGAGGGGATCCTGTCCACCTACACCCACAAGGCCTCCTCCAGTGCCTCTCAGGACCCCGACCCCAGGCTGGACATGCTGCTGAGACCATGGCCACCTTTCCGGCTTCTCACGACACGGTGTGGCAGGTCTTTCCTTGCCCTTGCAGAGGAAACACTTGTTAAGCTTATGCCACACAGCTGCAGTCAAAATACGGGGCTTGTTGTGAAAGCAAATCATCAGTGAGTTTCCTGAGCTGAACTCCCAGGCAGAATGAGCTGTGCATGGGCTGTGGCGTCCTGCTCGGCTCACGGAGGCTTCCTGGGGCAGACGTCAGTCCCTGCAACTCACTTCCACTCCAAGTTCAAGCTCAGACTTGGCTCGAACTCCCTGAGGCCCTCACAAGGACACTGCATCCATCAGTGCAGGTAATCACACGGACCCAGGGACGTGGGAGTTGATCTGTACGTCAGGGAAAAGAAATGCCCATAAACGTACTGGGGGGGGCACAGCATCTTCACCGCAGAATTCCTGAGAGTCAACACACAACAGCAGGTGACAGCACCAGGCTTTAATCTGCTCAGAAGGCTAAGAGTGTTCTAGAAGGTCAAATCTCCAAAACTTAGCTGCCAGAGAGGAGGAAAGAGAAATTTCTACAGTACCAGATGGCACACGTTTCAGGGCCATGCCCTCTCATTAAAGGTTAGCCTATTTTTGTACATGCTATCCTCGGCAATAAAAATAGCAATTTCCAGCACCTGCCTACTTCAACCCTGGCTTCCCCTCTCCTGCCCCCGCCCCATCACTGACAATGGACATGAAAAGTAAGGAGGGGCTGGCCAGGGCAGGGGGTTTCTTTCTTGTTAACAGGGGTCTACCCATGACTCTAAAACATACCTAGTTAGGCCATATCTAACCCACAGACCACATCCCCTGGGTCAGATAACTCACAGGCGGATATCCCCATGCATGTTTACTGAATGGCTTTTTGTTTTAATTAAAACCCTCATTGTTTGTAAAGCCCCCTTAGGACCATAAAAAAAAATTATTTTCCTTCCATCCTGATTTCAATGACTTCCATTTGGCAAATATGTATTCCCTTGTCCCTTGCTGCCCAGCCTTGAATTGAAAAACAGTAAAGATGGATTTTCTTTTTAAAAGAATGCCTCTGACCTTCTCTACATTCTACGGCTCACAAGCCCGAGACCTGTAGCTTCAGGATTTCCTCTGGGCTACTCCACAAGGCTCTGCAGCATGCAAAACCGTCTCATTAGACAATTCCCTTTGGCTTCTCAAACTCAACGACTTCTTTGCGAAAGCAGCAGACAGCACAGCTGTGCTTTCCGTACCTGTGGAAAGGATCAGCTTGTACTCCTCCAAGGACAGGCCACTGAAGCTGGTGTCTCTGGGGCGAGGGTACTGGCACAGGGCAGGAGAGAGGAGGAAGGGGAGAAGATTAGTTCCACAGTATGAGCCTGGGTGTTCAGAGGCCAAGAGGCCTGGCAAGGAGGGCAGCGCCACCTTGAGGCCAAGACCAGGCCTCACAAGAATCAGGCGGAGCAGGCAGCTCCCACCTCAGGAGTGCAGGAAAGCTTCCTCTGTAAAGCACAGACTGACCCGAAGGTCCGGTGGGGGAGAGATTCTGCGTGTCTAATCAGCTCCTGGGAGAGGCCCACGCTGCTGCTTGGGGACTGCACTGAGTGGAGAGGATTTAGGAGAAATCCCTTTGGCACACAGGCTTTTCCATTTGGCAATGTCTATTTGTAGAGTTACTGAACATATTTTTCAAGTCTGGAAAAACCACACTAAGTGAAATTTGACAGAAATCCTGTCAGGGTTGAGGAAGAGCTCAGCTTTGTCTGATGGGACTTTCCCGACTGCCCCGTCTCCATCACAGAGTAGAAAGCACTGGTTCCACCAGTGTGGAGGGGAAAATATGTGTGTAAGATCTATGGTTGCCACAGACTCCCAGGAGCACACACTGGCATATAAAATGCTGTACATGGCTCCTATTTATAATTTTAAATAGCTTTTAGGTGACCTAAAAGCCTCTACCAGGCACCTTTGTTGGCAAGGCTGAAATTTCTGGGTACATCTGAAGGTAGCAAAACACTGTATAATCAGATTTCCACTCCCTTTACTGGCTCCCTGCCCCAACAGGCTGGGACATAAGGGCCCACAGCCCACTCACCTTGTGTTTGTAGTAGTTTGAATGCAGTCGTGCTAAGCTCTCGTACATCTGGTCACAGGCCTCGGGCTCTGCAACCTGGAAGACAAAGAGCCCAGAGCATGAGCAGGGCAGCCATGACCCTCGCCGGGTCGGCTCCTTGAGTGAGAGCTGAAGGTAGTGAGGCGTTCACAGGAAGCAGGCCCGAGGCCAGCACAGCAGCCCGCTCTGTGGGGAACACGCCTGGCCTCTAGCATCTGCTTTCTTTCACAAGTCACCTTTCTGGAGAGAAGGCTCCTCCTGTCAGCTCCTCAGCCAGCAGGAAAACCTGATCAATCAGCCAGCAAACAAACACATGTTGAGCCCCGTGACTTGTGAACCACTAGGCCAGCTGCAGTAGGGAATACCACGATGAAAAACCGAAGACTGTTGTCCTGGGCTTGATCCTAAGGACCCCAAATAAAAAACCCAAAAAACCCTGAGGCTGGAGCACACACCTGGAGAGGCAGGTGTGTGGCGGGGAGCACCTGGTGGAGGGAGGGACCTGAGGGGCAGGGAACGCACGCACTGCAGAGCAGAGGTCTGTCAGAGGGAGGGCCGAGGGCCGAAAGCAAGGCAGAAGAGCCCGGCTGAGAAAAACAAAGCTCTAGGAGTAGTATTAAGTAAAAATTCTTTTATGAAAGGCAGAAAGAAAAAAATATCAGTGGTGCGTGGGGGGCTGCTGAAACTCTACAGGAGGGAAGAAGCATGAAGTGGGTGGGGTTCAGATGAGACCTGGAACTGAGGAGGGCGCCTGGCAGGAAGAAGCCGGAACCACGAAGGCCTTGTGGACGAAAAGGAGGGAATGACAGGTCCTCCAGTGCCTGTGACCCACGTGGGTGCACCTTCCTGCCTCTCCCCTCACTATTATCTCTATAGTTCCTTACATTTTTATACCAAGAATTCTGAAAGCCCCAAGAACAAAACTTCCTCTTTGTTTCTTCGCAGAATTCAAATAATGCATTTTTTCTAACTTACGTCCTTTCTTGAAGGCAACAGAGCACATAAACAAAGCAGGAGGGCAGCACTTCCACCCGTGTGTGTGGGTCCAGCAGGGCCCCACTTCACACCCACCCTGGGCCTGGCTGCTTGTCCAGAGAATGTGCAGAACACCGCTGAGGGCCAAAGGCACTACCTGAGGGCACAGGTGCAGGGAGCTGCAGCTCTTCCGACGAGGGCTGGTGGGCAGCGTGGGCAGCCAGCCTTGGAGGAGCACAGTGAATACATTACTTCCACGGCAGGGACACGACCCCAGGAGCCCCACAGGAGACAGAGTGCAAGGCCCACGCCACAAAAGGGAGGGGACCCTGGGACGGAGGCTGATGGGTACGATGCTCAGATCATGTCCGTGTGCTGAGGCAGGGCCAGTGTGTCCATGGCTGCAGGGACAGTGGCATCCAGCTGCCCGGGGGAAGCCTGGCACCATCACTCCCCAGCTGCAGGGGTCGGGTGAGTCGCTCCGTTCCTTCCAGCCTCACCTGGGCTGAGAAATCACCTGCCACCATTTTTACCACCTTCTGAATCTGTTTTCCTTGGGTCCACTGCAGTAGGAACAGAAGACCCTGCACCCCTCACTTCAGAGTGTATTTCCGGAAATGAAGTCTCCCATGCGACGCTGAACTTGGACACAGCCAGATAATGTCCAGCCCACTGCCCGCATCCGTCATGCCCATTGTCTCGTGCAGCCCCGGCAGGACAGGGGAGCCCAGGGGACCTCACTGTCTCACACCCCAGGCCCCTTTAATCTGGGACAGTTCCTCAACCCTTCTCTTCCATGCACTGCCACGTTTGAGGCACACTGGCCAACTTAACCTTTCTTTGTAAAAGGAAGGATGGTAACAGGCCCTACTTCCAAGGGAGGCAGGAAGGCAATGAAGTGATGCACAGGCTGCTCTGGATGCCAGGCCAGAACACAGTGTCAGCACCACAGCAGCAGAAACACAGGCTCTGACCTCATAAACTCAACAGGGACAGATAGGACAGCGCAGGACAACCCCGGCGGCAGTGGCATGAGGGGTGTGGAGGCCAGGAAGGCCAAGGAAGCAGGGCCGAGGACAGACGCACAGGCACCACGGAGAAAGGGGGTGCTCTGGGAAGGCACCGGCAGCAGCACAAGCCCAGGCCCCGTGAGCACGCCAGGGTGGCTGGTGCCGAGGTGGGAGCGAGGATGGAGAGGACCCTGACCTGACCGCAACGTCGCCTGGTGCTCCGTGGCCAGGCCAGTGGGACTCAAAGGCTGGCCCGAGCAGGCAGCTGTCGCTGTGCCGTCTCCCCACAGCTGCCCCTCTGGACATCCCCCTCACCACTGTCCTGGCACCTCCTGACCGAGCACTTAGAAAAGGCTCCCCTGCTGCCTGCCGCCTTCCTGAGGTCTCCCTGGCTCCCACCGCTGCTCGGATCAAACCTGTGTTCCCACATCTGCGCCTACACAAATCCAGCCAGCTACAGTGCTCTTCCTGGCCCCCTCCAACTTCGCTCCAGGTGAGAAGGTGCCAGAGGGCTGCTTGGCCACCTCCTATCAAATCATGGGGGTGGGCAGCAAGGACAGGCTGGGCACAGAGGTGGGATCGGGGTCACCCTCGCAGAACACTGTTCCTGAGACCAAAATGAATAAGGCCCAAGGAGAAAGTGAAGTGACCCCTGGGCCCCCTCAACCTCTTAAAGGGCCCTGGTGTTAAGGACATGGTGGACAGAATGCCCGCAGTGCGGTCTGCGATCGGGGAAGGAACCTCACATCCCTGAGCCCTAGGAAGCGGCCTGCTCTGCTCTCAGTACACCACTTGGGTCAGAAGGTGTCTCCCTGAGGCTGTGGAAGGAGCTCAGAGGAGGTGGCGGGAGGATGGCTGAGCTTTGCCAATTTCTAGAAAGTTCTCATCGCTGAAGCAAAGGCAGAGTCACTGGCAATTCTAGGTTCTTAGCCACACCTAACTCCAGCACAGCAATTGACAACCAAACCAAAACTGTTTACTACTTACAAGGCTATCAGTGGAGATACTGTCTAATTCCAGCAGGCTCACTACAGACCTACATGTTACACTTTATTCACAGACTCTACCACAAACATCGATGGATTTTGAAATATATAATTATTTGAGGAAATGTACTATGTGTTTTTAGGAACAGTTTTGTGTACAAGCTTTAAATTACCTGGTTTTGCATTCACACCTAATGAGATTACAGACATTTTAGGACTAATAGCAGTGCTGGGTTTGAAAAAGGCAGCAGCAGGGACATTATGAAAAATTCAGCACTGCTCCCTAAATGTGAATAAAATAGATGTTCAACTGACAGAGTGTCCTTTATAGCTCTATTTTTGCTCCTTTTGCATTTCCCCTGCTCAGTCGTCAGTAAATTTCTCTTTACCATATTAAACTTTTATGCATACAAATCTACATCACTGCCGCAGGCACTGATTTCGATTTTCAAAATTGAATTTTGGGTGGTGACAGCAATTGGTAGAGCCGCCCCTATTCTAGTCACACAAAGGGAGGCATAAGCACTTTTGGGAAAGGTTGTCTCGAATTGCTTTGCTAATTAAGGTAGAGCTGGATTTGGTCCAGGAGGATCTATGAAAAAAGGTTTCTATGACTCAGTAATGAACTTCTGAAATGAGTTCATTCTGTTGTGGAGCGTGTGCCTTTCAATTCAACTGGGATCTGCTTCCTGAGCACCTACCATGGAGAGCGCGCTCTTTGGAGGGGACTGGGGACACAAGGACCGCCCCTAACCCCAGAGAAGCTGGCAATCAAGCTGAAGAAACAAGGCACACACGTTGAAAACCAACCATGGACCAGGCCATATGGAGCTGTCCTCCCTGACACTGGGCCTCAGCACGCGTGGCCCAGGGATGGGGTGCGACTGCACAGACGGTGCTCCGGGGAGGCAGGGCCGTAAGAGCTGGAGTGCAGCGAAGTCTGACAAGTGAGGCGTGTCTGGGGCACTGGAGTTCCCGGGGTTCCGGAGCACCTGTGTGCTCGGCTGATTCCCCTGAGGCAGGGGATGCATCCGAAGCCAGCCTGGTAACTGAATGAGACCCTGGGGATGTAACTCAGCTCTCCCTGCCCAGGTCACCCGGGCTACAGCCAGTCTGGGAGGCAATGAGGACACCCTTGCTGGGCCTCCGCTGGACTCATGAGGGGCACCAAGTCCAAGTTGGAGACGCAGCTGGATCTTGGATGTCAAGGACCACAGGGTACTGAAGGCTCCCAAAGTTGCCGACACTTATCTAGCAGACAGTCTCCACATCTTTGAGTAGAGGAGTGACCACCAGAAGTACCTTTAGGACGGGCACCTGCATCTTTGACTGCGTGCAGATCAGCCTAGCCCCTTGTATGAACATGGCCTCATCGCACTGCCGCTCCACTCAGAGCTGGGAAAGACGACAGAGACGTCTGCACTCCTCCTGGAGTTGATTCCCCTGGCAACTCCTGTTTGGCAGCGGGCCCCAGATTACAACTCCCAACAGTGTAACTGGTTCTCAGGCCAGTCCTCAAAACCTGGACTTCAGGGGCCTGCATAGGGTGAGGACACCCCATATGGCTTCTCCTCGCCGGCCAGCACATGCTGGGCTCCCTGCCACACTGAGGCACCAAGGACCAGTCCCTGGCTGACTGTATGCCCTTGGAACTCTGCTCTGAGAAAGTGCAGCACTGTTTACATGGCTAGAAACCTAAAAAAGTGTGGCTTCTCTAAAAGGCACCCAAAGACTTAACCTGGACACAACACAACTGACAGCTTGCTGCTGGGCTTGGCAGCGGCATTTCTAGGCCCTCCCAAGGGGGCCGAGCTCGAGCAGTGGGGCTGGAGTGCTGTCAGGAGCAGAGAGAGCTGCCCTCGTGCCTAATGAACTCCTTAGGAGGACCTGCTCCTTCCTTGACGCTAAGTCAACAATTGCAGTTGTTCTGCCACCTTCCCCCATGATGTGATTCCTTTCTAAGTGCTCAGTGCCGCAGGGAACATGTGTTCGTTCAAGGAAACCACATTCAGAGGGGGCAAGACCTGTAAACACGGACTCACAATCTGGCACAATGGCCCCGGGGGGTGAGAGGTGTTTCGAGTGTTCCGCTTCCTGCCGTCGCTTCCCCTCCCGGTGGGTTTGGGGTGGACCATGAGACTCCCCAAAGGGCAATTTGAGGTGGAATAAGTGGAGGCAGTGGTTTCTGTGCTCTTTTGAAGCCTGAATTATTAATCTGCCTTCTAGTGAGCCTGGCTTTTCCGCACCGGTGCCCCACTGAGGGCTATCTTTCTTTCCACCCGCTCTGGGAGGCAGGAGTTGGGGGAAAGAAAAGCAGGTGGGCCAACACAGGGAGGTGTTGAATTTTTTGTCCAAGCAACTCGAGGTCCAAAAAGGTTTGAGCAGGGAAGGAGGGCGAGGGAGAGGCCTGATGCTCAGGGAACAGACTGTTCTAACAAGCAGCAGTGGCTGAGGAGACCACATCAGGCCAGGGCTGGGTGGCTGGCACTGCTTCCTACTCGCCTCTTCCTGCCAGGCAGCCCTGCATACGACGTGTTTCCTTTGTTTCCCTGTGTCTAAAATGGGAATAGCAACGGCTGCCTCACTCGGACGCACTCACTGAGGCCTGAGATCACGTACACGAGCATGCTGGGTGCCCCCAGGCCTGTCAGGACTCAGGGAGCCAGGAGGCCAGAAGAGCCCTGCCCGCCTCTCCCTGAAAAGCTGCTTCACCACCAGCAGCTTCCCCTCCCCTCCTGCCTTCGTGGCTGTGGCACCACCGAGCAGGATGCTGACCCATCCGCCCATGGGGCTCAGCCCCACTGCTGCCGCCACGTGAAGGCTACACAGAAGGAAACCACCTCCCTCTCAAGGTCTTTCTAAATGACGGGCGGGCCGTCAGTGGGAGGACTCACAGTGCTGCTCTGGATCCCAGGAAGGGGCTGCGCCCTCCAACAATGGTCACAGTGATCTACCAGCTCAGGTGCATCTGCAGGTGACACCAGACGAGGGATCACGACAGTGGTCCTAAGTAATGTGCCCGCTGCCATCAGGATGCGCGGGCTTGCCCCACCAGGAACGGGAACGCATCCATCAGCTGCCTGGGGCGGTGGCGCAGCCACACTCCCATCTGCAGCGATGACTCAACCTGTGTGGGCCTCCGACTGATTGGGAGCTGTCTCCCCAGGTGATGACAAAGGGTGACAACTCCCAAAGAGAAAGCTCTGCCCTCCCTGCAGGCTGCTCTCACACTAACAGTCAAGTAGGCGACTGTCACACTCCTGCCTCCCCGGGACTTAGCCTCTGACTGCTCAAGTGGAAAGTGAGGATCAGCTTGTCCCTTCTCTGTGGCTCCTGCAGCACCTCGACTACAGGAAGCTCCCCACCAACTGGCACCCCTTAGACCACAGAGGGCCTTGACTCTCCACTACTTTGCTCCATCTAGCTCTGCTCCATCTGCAACTGTGCTCAGACGATCTGTCTCAGGAGCCACAGCCGATCATTTCTTTATCTGCTCACTCAGACACATACTGGGTGGTTTTGTAGGTGCCAAGGACTACACTAGACACTGGGCTGGGGTGAGGTGGGAGGAGTCAAAAATGGCATCATTTCTATTCTCAAAAGGCTCACGCTAAAAATACACACAATCACAGCCCTAGAAAGTCTCTGAGGTTTGCAGAACTGAGACCAGAAGAGATGCTCGCCTTCAAAACCTTCACACTTCAGGCCAGTGAAGACCACTGTGAACGGTGTAAGGACCCCAGGGTAGTGACCTCTGCCTCCTTCCACAAGTCCTGGGCCAGAGAGTCCATCCACGACACCCTCTAATTGGTGTACTCTTGCTCCACCAGGGGGGCTGCTTTGGCTGTGCCGGGGTAAGCTGCAAAAGACCCACGCTCCTGCTTGGAAGGTCTTCAGACCACGTGTGTGCTCTGTGTCTCACTTCGTACTCTGACCTCTTGCCTAAGCCCAGGCTCAAACACCCCACTGCCAACTTGACACCTCCACTGGAAACAGTCCTCTTGGTGTCTCAAGCTTAACGTGTATAACATCAAACTCACAATGTTTCTCCCATGCCCACCTGTTCCACATCTAGCCTTTCCCAGCACAGTAAGTGGCCCTCAGTTACTCAGGCCAGAAACAATCTAGGTGTTGTCTTCAGTTCCTCTTCCCCCTTTCCCCATGTCCAATACAGGAGCAAGTACTGTGGTCGTGACTTGCACCATACAATCTGAACCCATACCTCCATTTCCTGTGGCCCACCCTCATCCAAACCACCAGCACCTCTTGCTGAGGGTCTCCCCTCGTTGCTGTTCTCACTTTTTATAATCTACTTACCACAGAGAACCTGAGTGACTTTTACAAAAAGGAAACGAGGCCACATCAGTCCCCTGACTAAATGTCCTCAGTGACTTCTCAATGGCCTTGTAAGAGCTAAGTCCTGATTAGAGCTTTTGAAACACTCCCAAGCCTGGCTCCTGCCTTCCTTGAACTCAAATCTGAGCAAATTCTACCTCACTTGCTACTCTCCAGTCAGTCTGGGTTTCCCCCTGTTCCGCTCTTTCTGTTCCTTTTCACGGAATGCATGTCACCCCCGAGGGCACACTGCTTGGCTCATCGCTCTCCTCGGCAGAAATGCCTACCATAACAGTCACTTTTTATTATGCTACCCTACTTTATAGCCAGCACAGTACTTGTATGTCTGTTTACTGTGTCCTGAACTAGAACGTAAATCCACGCGGGCAGGACCTCACCTTTTAATTCACTGCTATCTCCCTAGCATCGAGCATAGTTGGCACGTGTTCAATATGTGCTCTACGAATGAATGAATCCCAGAGCTTCGGCATCAAGGGGGCCAGGAAGGGCGCAAAGAATTAGTGGGAGCCACAGAGAGGTCCCTGGGGATCCCCTCAGTCAAGATAGACCCAGACGAGGGGTAAGCACGACCTCACGGAAATGCCTGTGATCAGTGCTGTGGGTTTCAACTCCGCGAGCACCCTGAATCACGTGAGAGCTTTTAAAAACACGGACGCCCAGGCCCCACGCCCACACATTGTGATCAGGTAAGGGTACTGTATTCCCGAATAGCTCCTGTGGTGATTCCACGGGGCTGCCAGGTCAGAGCACTGGGTGGCAAGGGGAGCTCCCAAGAAGGGGTCCGAGCACACGTGCGGCCCGTGCAGCCCGAAAGCCAAGGCCGCGCATGCGCAGCCCCGCCGCTAGCCCGCCCCTCGGCCCCGTCCCTGCCTCGACCTTTCCTCCCCTCTCCCCAGCCACCTCCCCGCCGGTCACCTGGGTGTTCTCTCCCTCCCGAAAGGCCTGTGCTACCCGCTGTCGCAGGTAAGTGCCCAAGTCCCGGCCCCGTTTGGTCTCGTCCACTGGCCACTCCTCACAGAGTTTAAGAAAACGGCGGTACCGGCCGGCCGCCATTTCGGGTCCCAGGTGCCCCACCCTGGGGGAGGAATCGGTGTGTGGCGCTTGCGCACTGAGGCTCGCAGCCTGCCCCGGGTGGGCATGCGCAGCTTCGCGGGTGCTGCGCTGCTCGCCCGGGGGAGGGCGCTGCGGCCCCGTTTTCTGCCAGCCGAGCTGCTTCAGTCCAATTTTTCCTGGAACTCGCCCAGCTCCCAGGGACCGGGCCTACGCGGAGTGCCCTAGGGACAGCTTTGCATTTCTTTTTCAATGACTGCACAATCTCCAGACTAGAAAACCCTCCTCCGAGACCTCTGCTGTTTTGCATAAACGAATATATTTGCATGTAAATACGGGTTGTTATGGGATGAAGATGTGTTTGCACTTGGTCACGCAGCATACGCACGCACGGTTTCCAGCCCCCTCCTGTACCTGTCAGGCCGCCGGGAACTCTGCCACCGGGCGCCTGCAGAGCTCCTGGCTGTCGTCCCTCTGCAGCTCCAGTTGTGCCCATCTCTGCGCCCCGCTCCCCAAACCAGACGCTTTTCCCTGAAATGCAGTTTTTCTAACTGAGAGGTGTCAGCTGGGTTCCTAAGCCCCGGAAAAACTTAAATTTTTTTTTATTGTGGTGAAATGCATAGAAAACTCACCATCTTAACCATTTTAAGTGTACAGTTCAGGGGCATTAAATATGTTCGCGATGTTGTGCAACGCTCAACTACCTCCGTACCTTTTCATTCTATAAAAGTGAATCTCTGTACCCCTCATAACGCCCTATTTCCCAGCCCTTGGAAGCCACCATTCTGTGCTGTGTCTTTAGGACGTTCGCCCCTCGTGGATATGGAATCATACTACTTGTCTTTTTTGTGACTGGGTTATTTCATTTAGCAGAAGGCTCTCAAGGTTTATCAATGCTGTGGCATATGTCACCCCCGTTTTGCATTTTAAATTTTTTGAGTTTTTGGTCGTAGCCATCCCAGTGGGTGTGAGGTTGTGTCTCATGGCAGCTTTGATTTGCATTTCTCCAACGGTGACTGGTGTTGCGCATGATTTCCTGAGCTAAGTGGCTTCTTTGGAGAAATGTCTAGTCAAGTACTTTGTCCTGGTTCATGTGTGGTGCTGGGAATTGAACCCAGGGCTTTCACACTGAGCTGCACCCCCCAACCCTTTTTAAAATTTTGAGACAGGCTTGCTGAGTTGCTAAGTTGCTCAGCTCAGATCCTCCTGCTTCAGTCTCCACAGTACTGGGATTACATGCATGCACCAGTACACCTTGCTTCCTTTGTCCATTTTTGGGTTGGATTTTTTTGTTATTGTTTTTAAGTTTTAGGAGTTCTCCATTTATTCTGTACATTAATCCCTTATCAGATACATGATTTTCAAATATTACCTTCCATTAAGACTTCTTTTACCAGCTCTTCTCTTATACACCTCTAGCCACATCACCAACATGGTCTACTTTTTGTTTTCAAAAGATTCCCCCACCCACCACCAAGATTTTGCTTAAAGCCTCAGCCCTGCACTGCCTAACCATCCTGCAACAAGTTAAGACCAAGCTGGTAGCCCTTCACTTCCCCAAACTTCTTCCTTCCTGCCCCATCTCCCTGTAAAGATGAATCCAGGAGACTCCTGCCTTCAGGAGGTACACATAGCCAAAGCAAAGCTGGAGGGGACAGGGCTTTTAACTGAAGTCGTGGTCCACACAGTGATGTTTCAGCTCTGCACATACAGGGTGTTCTGTAAGATCACGTTGCCTGGGGACAGTGTAGCTGGCTTAGTCTGTGTAAGGACGCTCTGTGACCCTGGTGTGATGAATCGCCTGATGACACACTTCTCAGAACCTATCTCCATTGTTAAGTGGCATGTGACTATTAGACCATGCTAATGGAATTTTGAAGAAAGAAATAGTATTTCTAGCTGTTCAGGGCATGCTATATGGCTTATATCTAGATGTCCCCCCAAAGCCTCATGTGCTCACAGGTGGAGCTTTTCAGAGCTGGCTGGGTCCAGGGTATGTGAATATGGATTAAGGATGTGATAACTAAATTAGTCCACTGATTAGTTTAGCATGGTTCTGGGTATGGATAATGAGAAGACCCACTCTGAGTATCAGTGGCATCATCCAATAGGCTTGTAGCCTGGATGGAATAAAAGGGAAAGGAAGGCTTGCTGCTGCTGCTGCTGCTGCTGCTGCTTCTGCTGCTGCCACTGCTTCATGCATACCCTGCCACAGACTGTTTCTCCTCTGCCATGCTGCCATGCCTTGGAGCCAGCTGACTATGGACTGAAACCTCTTCAAACTGCGAGCTAAAATAAACCTCTACTCCTTTAACTTGTGGGTGTCAGGTATTTTATCCCAGCAACAAGAAAGTAATTAAGACAGGGCAGTAGGGGAGAAAGCTCAGTAGAGCAAGTGGCAGGCCTAGGGGACAGCAGAGGAGAGGAGAGAGCTGGCCAAGCTCCCTCTGTCTTAGGCAGCAGCAAGAGTAACATGAGGTGGCAGCAAGTGGCCTTTACTTTGCTTGAGGCCCAAGTACAGGGAGAAGCCAAGGAAGACCAGAAGAGGCCACGGGAGGTCAGACAGATGCCCCTCTGGTGGCCTCCCCTCCCCACGTCCTCCGGATATGTGGTCTCATCTGGGGTTCAGGCCCCGTTCCCCCCTCTTCCCCCATCGGGAGACCTGATTGGCAATGTGGGCTCGCTAATTCATTTGCTCATTCGTTAATTTGGACAATCTAAATAATTTTTTGGGACTTGTTCCAAAATGAAAATGTAAGGTCCCTTTTAAAAAACTAATTTAAGAATTTTAAGAGAGCACCAGATCACTGAACCAAGTGTGGTGTGAGTGCTGGAAACTGCCCAGGACTCACTGTCACGGGGTGGGTGGGACAGGTGAGGGCCTCACCCCAGGGTTTTCTGTAGAAGCGGAGGAGAAGGCTACACGCAGACACTGCCAGCGATAGCAGGGCTGTGGACATCGGCGCTTTTGCTAAAGGAAGGAGGGGATTTCAGGTGTGATGAGTCCCAGGGAGAGGTCAGACAGGGTGCTGGGTCCACGTGTTGGGAGCACCCCTGAGGGGCTTGTGGGAGACAGGGACCTGAGCCCTCAAGGGGCAGCCACATGCAGGGGGCAAGACAGGCTGCAGGGCGGAGGGCAGGACCCTTCAGGACAGTCTGCTGTGGGTAGGTCCTTTACTTGCTCTGACTCCAGTTTCCTCATTTTAAAATGGTAATCATGTGACAAATTAAAACTGAGTCCGTGCCTGTAACCCCAGCTCTCTGGGAGGCTGAGGCAGGAGGACGGCAAGTTCAAGCCCAGCCTGAGAAACTTATCAAGACCCTGTCTCAAAAGAAAAAAGAGGGCTGGGGATTTAGCTCAGTGGTTCTGGTGCCTGCCTCGCAAGAGCAAGGACCTGATCCCTGGTACCAAAAAAAAAAAACCACAAAAGAAAAAAGAAAAACCCCCGAGTATTTGCTACCTGCCAGTCACTATTCTAAACGCCTTACCCAGACTGGCTCTTTAGTCCTCCTAATGGCCAGAGCACCACCATCACCCCCATTTTTAGAAGTGGAAACCAAGGCACAGAGAAGCAGGAGTTGCCAGTGTCACTAGCTAGGAGGTGGCAGAGCCAGGACTGGACCCCAGGCCGGGTGGCTGCAGAGCTGCAGTCCTTGGGGCCTGGCTGTCCCTAGCCTCTTTGCCTTTCTTGTGCTGTGGGTGGTTTGAGCCACAGCTCGAGCTCGTAGGCCTGTCAGTCACCAGGAGCCAGAGAAGGGCTGACCCTCCCTCGAAGCCTGGAATGGGTATTGGGGCTTTGTGGAGCCCGGCCTGCTCTGTACGGAATCCAGGCATCAGCAGGCGGAGGAGAGGGGAAGGAGGGACCCCTGCCTGGGGTTTTAAGTTATAATGATCCCAGTAATCGAGACACCGAATTGCACAATAAAATCGCTTGAACGTAAAAATATCATTTTGCAATGCCAGTGTTAATAATGTAAACATTAAAAGGGAATTAAATACTTAGCTTCATTGTGGGTTTGGCTGATTTTTCCTCTTTCCACTTATTCAACTGGAGGAAGCCACTGGCTCTGACCCCTAGATGCATTACTGGAAGCCCAGGGCCAGGGCTGACTCGTGTCAGAACAGTCTTTTCGGGCCCCTGAAGTGTCCCAGTGGCACAGACAGCGGCCTTGGTCTGGAGGTTTTCTAAGTGTTGGAAGCAGGCAGGGTGGGCCTCCGTGGGACCCCGTGGGACAGTCAGTCCATCCCAAGATGCTTGGCTGCACGGTGACACCGTCAGCTGCCCCGGGACCCGCTGTCCCCCTCCCTGCCCCAGGGGGCTTCTTGGCACCGGCTTTCTTGTTTTGTTTTTTTTGGTACCGGGGATCGAACTCGGGACCTTGCGCTTGTGAAGCAGGCGGTGGAACCACTGAGCTACATCCGGGCCTCATCACCAGCTTTCTTTTCAGCTCTCCCTCGCCTCCTGGGTTGTGTTTTCCGCTGCAGAGCGTGCAGATTTAAATCAAGAGTCCGAGGTTCAGATCATTCTGAAGAGCTGCTGGTGAGCAGGCTCGCCTTGCTGTTTGTTTTCCCAGGCTGCTCCCTGCCCTTCCTGCGGGGTCTGGGAGCTGGCACAGCTGGTAATAGTGATGGGGCGGCGGGCACTGCCGGAGGCTGGGTGGCTGATGACACTGCGCTCTGGAAAGGCTGGACCGCACTCTGCTCTTCAGGCTCTGCGTTAATAGCGCAGGAAACCCCAAGGGGCAGGGGCGGGGTGACTGTCTCCGGGCTGCCCTGCCAGGGGTGGCGGTGGCAGTGGGAGGTCAGGCCAGGCCGCTTAGGGGAGGTGCGCATGACCCGCGCTCCCGAGTCACCTGCCTCCAGCTCCCACGGCACCGGCACCGAGGGAGGATGCAGAGGACCGGCCAGAGGAGGGCGCTGCTGGGTCCCGCCGTCCTCTCTCTCCCCTGCGGCTCTTTATGTCTCTCTCTGCTTTAGTCAGTGTCCTACTGCCGAGAGGCCTATGGAGAAAGAGGTTACCCTACAGACTTGCTAGGTGTCACCAAACCCATTTTCTCTTCCCAGGCCCGTCCTGAGGCCCCATGGGAGCCCCTGGCTTCTGTCCAGGGCCGCGTGACTGATTCTGGCCCAGGGCTGTGGACGCCCGGTCGCTTCCCTGCGGGCTGACGTCCCCCTCTCTGTGCCATCTCGGGACAGGGGCCTGGGTCCCGGAAGGCTGTGGAGCCTGGATGGCAATGGGAGCCGCTGGGGAGAGGGAGGTGTTTGTCACAGCTGCCCGCCTGCGCTGACTGATACCTGTGAGTCTCCAGCTGGGGAAAGCAGGGCTCCTGAACTTTGGGACAGGAAGGGAGCCGGCTGCGAGGGACACAGTGACCCAGGCGAGAGGGGCAGCAGGCAGACGGGTCAGGAGCCCTTTCCAGTTCTCTTGTTCGTGTTCTCTAGCTCCCTGGGCATCGGCGTCCATCACGGGCAGCCCGCTCGCGTGCGCCCCTGCTTGTCAGTCAACTCGGAACTCCTGCCACCTTTCCCCTTCTCTCCGTTCCGGGTGGAGCTCAGCCACCACCTCTGGGCTGATGACGTGAGGCAGCGGCTCTCGTGGCCCCTGCTCCCCCGGGGGAGCACTCCGCATATCCCGGCAGGTGGCCCGGCCCCTGCTGAAGCCCCTGGTGGACCAGGAGGTTCTTGCTGATAACGTCACGGTGCTCACACTTCCTTGCTCCCCATGAGACCCTAACACAGTGCCCTGTGTTCCAGGTATCTGGCGATTCTTTGGTGGAAGGAAGGAAGGGAGGAGGAAAGGGAGGAGCAAATTCATGGAATCACAAATGAATGAGGTCCTGGGCCAGATTTGCTAACGTCTCTACCCTCTGGGCTGTTTCCATTTCCCCTCTTTTTATTCCTGCCCCTCGCACGGACCCCTGTGTGGTGCAGCCCACAGACGCGTGACCCTCCCCCCTGCTGCTTCCTTTGTGGATTCCCTGGCCCTTCCCCACGCCTGTCACCTTCGGGCCTGGGGGAAGTCCCCTTGCCTCCAGCGCCCTCTGTGCCTTGAAGGGGTCTCCAGGGCCGATTCCCCACACCACACACGCTGCTCCCCGCCTTCACTATCCGGTGTGGTTTGCTGCCAGCTCACATGTGTTATTGTCGCCTCCTCAACTGGAACCAAAGCTCCCCGAGAGTGGCATCTTCCCCGGCATGATGAGCAGAGAGGCCAGAATGGATGGCTTCCAGTCACCGTGTTATTTGGAGACCCCCTCACACCTGTTGCTGTTTCGAGTGAACCTGGACAGGAGTGAGAGGCGCACACCCCACAGCTCCCTTCCCTGTACCTCTTTGTTCTTCTCCCCGGGGTTGGATCTAGTGTGTGGGCTCATTCTGCTTAGTGCGTGGATCTACAGGGCCAGGCACAAGTTCCAGGCCATAGCAACCCTGCCACGTCCAGCAGTCCAGTAAGAAGAGCCTAACCAAGCAACTAAGGCCGGGCTGGTGGTGCACGTCTGTAATCCCAGTGCTCAGGAGGCCGAGGCAGGAGGATCACAAGTTCAGTGCCACCCTGAGCCACATAGTGAGTTCAAGGCCAGTCTGGACTCTAGCAAGACCCTGTCTCAAACACCAAAACTGAAACCAGCAGCCAGTACGGTCCCTTTCTTACTACAGCATTTTTGATGGGGACATCTCTGGGGGAGATGGGGACTCGGCTGGACCTCTGATGGTTCAGATGGAGAAGGAGGCCTGGTAGACGAAGGGCACCATGGAGAAGGCGTCTGTGGGGAGAGGTGGAGGGCCCATCCCACAGCACCCAGAACTGAGCCCGGGGCAGGGAGTGAAGCTGAGCCGGGCGGTGTGGACGCGGTGTGGACGCGGAGATGCGGTGCTGGGGTCTTGAGGGAGAACCGGCCGGAGGAAGCAGTATGCAGCTCAACACATCCGGAGGGTCCCCTGCTTGGAAATCCAGGAGACACAGTCTGAACCGAAACAAGAGGATCTGTGATCTGGTTACTCCTTCCTTTCTATTTCCGTGGATTTTGAAAAGTCGATGGTGAGTGTCTGTTAGAGTCCAGTGGGGGCTTTTGCATTTTGTGAGGTTCGGATGAAAGGAGCCCTTCTTTTGGGATCTGGCCCTGCCTGGCAGATACCACGTCCTCACCCCTGCGCCCAGGGCCTGCAGGACACCGGTGGGCTCTTCCTGCCCTGTACTCTACCCACTCATAAACTGGAGCTACCGTTCAGTGTGATGATCAGAATAAACAAACAGAAAGGGTAATAAGGCGCACCAATAATCGCTGGTGACCTCAGCAATTTTATTAACGAATTTATTTCCCTAATTGGGGAGCTGATCCCAGTGCTTGACTCAAGGGCATTGTAATAGGTCTCCACATTGCAGAAGAAGGAATTAATTAGAACCATTCCCTCTCGCCTCATATTTACACTTGTCCACCGGTCTTGTAAACATCACTCTAGGATTTCTGGCTGCTCCAGGTTTGTGACTCCCCCTCCCCCAATAAATAAATAGAAATCGGAGACCATGGAAGTTGCATTTCATGGTCAGAATGGGGCAGAATCACCATTTCTGATAGGCACCGAGACGTCTATAAAAGACCATTCTCCCCCAGGCGAAAAATGGAGAACCTGGTTCATGCCTGGGCCTATCCTTGTCTGTTTACTTATACATTTACTTTTGGTTTTTTGAGACAGGGTCTCGCTATGTAGTTCAGCCTCGACTTGAACTCAGTATGTAACCCAGGCTGGCCTTGAACTTGTGGCAATCCTCCTGCCTCAGCCTCACCTATACAAAGCACATGCCCTGTGGCTGAACTGCACCCCACGTGTCCTTGTCCATTAGACACTGAGCACAAAGCAGGCAAGATGGGAAACCGGTCCCACTTGGCACTGCCCCACCTCTAGCTCCGGTGGGAAGGTGGGAGACGTCCATGAGCTCTGTCAGCCCAAGGCTCATGTCACTGGGAACTCGCTCTTTGGGCTTCTTTCCGTAGGGCTTGGCCTCACAGCCGTGAGGGCTGCCGCATGATGAGAAAACCTTCCCCAAAATGGATGCTCCAGACTGTGACTGCAGCGCTGGCCTCTGACTCATGCTCGGCGACGCTGTGCTGATTGATGAGCAGCACCTCACACAGGAGGCGCCGGTGTGCATGGAGCTGCCGTGGGGTGCTTTGCTTAGCAGCTGTGCCTGCAGAGAGTCTTGGAAGGCAGACCTGGTTACCATGAAGACGTCTAAGGGGCGTCTAGACTACCCAGCTTCCAGTAGGTCCCTTTGTAAAACCTAGCCCGGGAAATTCCAGATTCCCAGGGAGTTTCACTTCCCCCTTGGATGCCCTGCAGGATCCCGATGAGCTTTTCTAAGCTGAAGATGTAGCCAGGATCTGGTCTGTGGTAGGTGGTGTGCTCCTTCCAGGAGCGCTTGTACGTTGTGTGAGCAAAGTTGATCATCTGACACGGACCTTGGCCGGACCTGCGGGGAGCCTTCCAGAGGATGCAGACCAGCTGCAGTCCTTTCCAACGGCTCATGCCTGTCATAGATAATGAGGAGAGAGCTGGAGTAGAACCGGTATGAGCTCTGGCTCCTAATGACCACCAGGAGGGCCTGGAGCCAGAGCAGGATGGGCGACAGGAGCTCCGAGCACTGGTGGGCCCTGTTGTGCAGGAACTGACAGAGGGCTTGTTGGAAGCCCTCAGCTGAAAGCTTTCTTCTGTAGTACTTGTCTTTGCAGAGAAAGTGCTTCTTATCAGTCTGGTAGACCTTGCGTTGAAAAGAAGAAAGAGAAAATGTGAAGAATTGCAAATTGAAAATGAATTGCATGGGCTACAGTTGCAGCTACACAGGCTCCTGTGATATATAAACAGACTTGCAGGAGACCTGGGGTGGGAGCGGCTGAAATGAGCTGACGATGCTCTCCCATCACCCCCAGTGTCATGTTTCCATTCTGAAATGCTCCCTAGCAAGTCTTTAATAGTCATCTAAGGTCCAAAGATCCTTCACCTCACAGAGGTGACCTCCACCTCAGAGGCAACGTTTTGGATCTTCGTTCTTGTGAATTTCCAGTGTCAGCCTCCGAATCATGATTTAAGTCCTGGCTCCTGTCCCTCTCCAATTCAAATATGAGCAAACCCAAGCTAGAAAGCTTTAGAAGGAATCTCAAATCACTGCCAATGGCCTTGGAAAGGCAACTAGATTAAATTCTCTCCAATAAAGTTTATTGTCAAGTCTTTTCTCTGGAGATTTGAAGGAAACAGAAATGGCCCTGGAGATGGAGTGGGTGAACTGCTGGAAGATCCTCACGGTGGGTGGCTGGTGTGTGCAGGCCACCGGTGCAGCTGCGGGGTTCTTGTGAGGAGGCAGGCTCACTGCTGCGGTGGGGCTGCTGGCTTCTGTCCTTGGGATTGTCTCCCCGTCCCTCCCGCGTCGTGTCTTGGCCACCAGAAGGGAGCAGATGGAAGAGGGATGCTGACGGGGCTGTGGCAGCCGCCCCTACTTCATTCAGAAGGCACAGACAGCGGCAGGAGCTGAGCCGAGGCCAGGCCAGGGCTGGCTTGGCCACGGGGGGCTTGGGATGCCATACCTGTCCTGAGATAGTTTCTCAGGTCTTTCCGGCCTTCGGATCACGTGATATGTTCACAGAAAACCAGCACTGAAAAGAAAAGTCAGAAAGATATGATAGGCTTAGTTTTGCCTGTGGAGGGCCAGAGATTGGCTGCTAAATTAGCCATCATAAATACATGACAGGCGTCGCTTTCTAAATAAATCAGATCAATTTCAGAAGGTTTGAGGTCCGGAGAGAGATTCCATTTACACCACAAATCATCACACTGTTCTCTTGAGGACCACGTTCCAAGCCTTCCCAGGGACATCTGTGCAACGAATTTATAGACTCAACTTCCAGCTTCAAGGGGTGGCAGTTTCAATTAAGGAAAGCTATAACGTTTACCGTCACACCGGTGTCTGGTTTTGCTCGGAGTAGACAGACTGAGAGCGCCAGAGCGGGGCAGTTTATTCCCTCCCGCCCTCCAGCGCCCCTGCAGTAATGCAGTCGGGGCAATCAGGAGATTACGGTGCCTGCGCCTGGCTGGGAGTACAGGCTATCACCTTCCCACGTTTTTAAAAACCGAAGCAGGCAGCAAAAAGAAGCCAGAAAAGGTGGAAGGGAAAGAGGGAATGGTTAATAAGAATTCAAAGAGCAGACTGCCCTGCAGCGTCAGAGGGGAGAGGCTACATCTGCGTCATTCCAGAGGACTCAGGCTCAGTTCTCTTCCAGCCGCTGCCACACACCTGCAGGCATCAAAGATCTGCCTCGCCGTGGGCAGAAACCAGGGGCCCCTGTGTGAGCTGCAGCTGCCGAAGGCTGAGCTGGAGTTCAGAAGGGGGCTTCAGACACCACTGTCTTGAATGGTCCTCTTTCAAAACAACCAGCGTGTGGGCTGGGGCGTGGCTGAGTGGTAGTGCATGTGCCTAGCAGGCGTGGGTTCCATCCCTGGTGCCCCGAAACACAAACAATCCCCATGTGTCATGGCCTAGGACGCGCCTCTGCCTGCCCCAGGCGTCTCCCGCCTCCTCTGGGCTCGGCGGGGAGGTGGCGTCACCTACCTACACTTCTCTGCGCCTGGCCCTCTTCTCCTCTGACATCGTCTCCGTGCTGCTGCGTCCCCATCTGCAGGTCTAGGATGCAGGGATGCGTGAAGGGTGACACCGCATTTTCCAGTAGCAAGAAGTCTGGTCACACCAAGTTAAGGAAGGCTCCGAGGACACGTGGGCTGCTGCCCCTCGGGAGGCGGTGAGCAGCCTCAGAAGCTGCCGAACTGCCCTGCTCGTTGACATTCTTTTTTTGATTCTTCAGCTAAAAGCAGAAGAGATGATTTATTGTACACGTGTTACGCTCAGCCATAACTGAGAACAGTAGTCCAGAATGCCACAGGTCCAGGGCAAAAGACCAGCGGGGACTGCTTTAGTTATGACCAAGGTGGGTCTCTCTGAGGTGGTCTTGGCGATCAGATGGTAACGAAGTTCAAATCCATCGAGATGCATTCTAGATAGTAGCATGCAGTCTACTTGTACCAGTGTCCTCCGCCTCCAGCATTCCTTATTTCTACTCCTTAGGCCTCCATGGATGTACAAGCTATTTTACTTGGAGCTCTGCCTCATCTTTCTTCTTTTGCGCTTCAGCCTGCGCATTCCCTTCTTCCTCCACTTGGCTCTCATGGCGCGGAGGTTTCTAAGAAGATGGCGTTAAAACTGAGAGAGCCTCGGCGATATTCTTCCACTCCCATTTCCTTCCTTCCTTCTCTTTCTTTCTTTCCTTTATTTTCGGTTCTGGAGATTGAATCTCAGGTCCTTTACACAGAGCTACGCGAGCTACATCCCCACCCCTTTTTATCTTTTATTTTGAGGCAGGCTGTGCCACCTTGCTAAGTGGCTCAGGCTGGCCTTGAACTTGTGAGCCCCCTGCCTCAGCCCCCCAAAGGACTGGGATTACAGGTGTGCACCACTATGCCCGGTTGCATTTTCTTCCTTACAGACAAGCCCTTCTTGCTATTAAGAATGCAAGGTATTAGCTTTGCAGACTGCTTTAATAAGTCCATTTATTTAAAGGGAGTCTATGAGTATGTGAGCTTTTCTTCCATTTCCATTTTGCTCTGAGGTTGAAATTTAACTGTGGATGTGAAATCCCTGGCAGGCCATGCCCAATTTACATTTTATAGCAGAAAATCATAAGGCTAAAACCTCCAGTCACTGAATGGGCCAGTACCTTTTGGGAGAAGCGGGTTGATGTTCACTTTGGAGATGAGTTGCAGGAATATTAATTTCTGTGGAGTAATTATCCTGCAAAAGCTTCTCAGGGATTAGGCTGCAGATGTGTCTTAGTGAATACTGTGAAACCAGCCGCCCATTTGCAGGAAGGAGCCCTGGGTAGGAAGGGGCCTTTCAAACTGAAATTTCTAGGCTGTGTATGGGGCAGCTCCTGTCTGTGCCACTGTGGGCACTTCCCTAGGGAGGACCCACATTTCCTTCCCACCCCGTGGGCCCATGGAAGATTTCTGCAGGGGCAAGGGGGCGAGGGCTGGTTGGGGCAGGGAGACCCCTCCAGCCCTCTGAAGCCCCTCCTGGCCCCACATGGCACGGTGTTACACATTCCTGCCAACCCCACTGCCCAGGTGGCGGCAGAGTATCAGTATCAACTGTGATTCCAGTCCAACTTGCCCACACTTCTTTGGAGGGGTCCGGTTCCTTTTCTTTTTTGAAGTACAAGGTTTTGAACCCAGAGCCTGCACACTAAGCCACATCTCTCGCCATTTATTTTTCTGAGACTGGATTTCGCTAAGTCGCTGAGCTGCCCAGGCTCTCAGACTTGTGACCCTCCTGCCTCAGCCTCCTAGAGTGCTGGGATGACAGGCGAGTGCCACCGCCCTGGCTGGGATCTGATTTCTTCTAGGTTGTATTTGTCTCCCCTGTCTCTGTCTCTGCGTCCCCCACTGCTGCCACCACCATCCCTTCCTACCTGTGGGAGGGCGTTGGCAGGAGGGTGGGCAGGATACGGTGCCGCTTGTTCTCTGGGTGCTCCGAGCACAGGTGGCTCAGGTAGGCCTGGTGGCAGAGCAGGCCCACGGGTTCAAGCTCCTCCTCTCGACCTGGTTGCCATTGGCATCTTCCACCCGCAAGGAGACCTGGGTGCTCAGGAGCACCGTGGTGGGGCTGCGGGGAGGGAAGCGTAGTGACGTCAGGCAGATGGCAGCGCCGCCTGCCCACGCTCTGTGGGATGGGCTCTGCCCTGGCATCTCCAGGACGGCGCTCACCAGAGCCACGAGACATGCAGGGGCCACAGCGCCTTCCCTCACGTCGCTTACTGTGGAGGCACAGATGGGGCTGTTCAGGTGGGGTCGCCGCCCTGTGCTGTGCCCCCACCTGGAATCACAAGGCCGGGGCTTTAGGCTCTGGTGCCTGGCTTGGCATCATGTCCTTGAGACCTCAAAATGCCATGGGGAGGGGTTGGGTGGGGCAGTGGGGTCGCTGGACGTGGCCCATCCTCCCTCTCCTGCCTCGGGCATCTCAGAGTTGGCGTCTGGGAGCGCAGATAGCCGGTGGGTTCCTGATCCAAACCAAGACTTTAATCAGATCCCATCCCCTCGGGGAGGGGCCGTATTGTCACTGTATTAGTTCCCTTTGTTTCCCATGAATGTTCTTAAAATCCCCAGGGACCTTCTCATCTGAGAAAGGTCAGCTGATGTCTGAGGCCCTAGAGACCTCTGCAAGGGCCCAGGTCCCGTCTCCTGCGTCCCCAGGGACCCTGAGGGCCACACTGCCCTCTCCTGGGGCATCCTGAGCGCTAGTCCGGAGAGATGAGCCACATTTCCCTCGCTGAGAACCGCGCTAGGGTTTCTGTTCTGCACCCCCCCAGGCCCCGACACCCTGCCTGGCCTCAGCGTTTAATTAAACAAATCGGCACCAAGTTCCCACTCTGCCCACCTCTGAGCTCTGAGGAGGGCTTTCCCGAGGCTCCCTCCACAGTGGCCTGGGAGAAGCCCACTCCTCCAGGCTGAGCCTCCGTCTGACTTTCTCGTTTTCTTGGCCCCAACTCTAGTGGGGCACGGGTGGCCCGGGCACAGGTGGGGCGGTGCTGTCCCTGCTGAGGGTCACCTCAGCCCTCTGTGAGCCCAGTTGCCTGCCGCATGTGCTGCCCCTGGGCCAGGGCCCGGGCGCCCCCACCACTGCCGGTGGCCTGCTGCGTCGACTGCCGTGTGGCCACCGTCACAGACTCTGCGGACGCCTTGCAGGGCTCCCGGGCCTCCTCCTGCGGGTGCGCCACTGGGCTGCGGTGGCCTCTGCTGTCTCTATGGAGGTGCCGGGGACGGCGCCTGCCGGACAGGGCCAGGGCGGGACGAGAGCCGTGGCCCGCAACCCTCAGTGGCACGGAGACTGGGAACTTCTCTTAGTGGCACCGGCGACAGCCTCCTCCCTGCTCCTCTCCCTGGCCTGCTGTGGCCGGCCCGATCCTGCTCCCTATGACCCCGCACCGTGGCGTCTGCAGAAAGAGCCGTGGGCTGCTCTCCGTGTGTTCCTGCTTCGTCTCACTTTGTCTCTTCTCGCTTTAAACAGAGCCACCTGTACCTTTTGTTCCGGCGCCTGGCTCCGCTCTGCACAGTGCAGTCAGGCACCGCCAAGCTGCTGCGCCCAGCCGGGCCCCACCTTGCCCTCTGCGGCCCTCGCCAGCCCTTCTTCCCCCATCTGTCCTTGTCTGACAGCTTCCGGGCGCCTTCCGCTGTGCCCCCGCCCCTCCCCGCCTCTGCCTCCTGCACAGGGTTGGCCACTTCCGGTGGCCAACGCCTCGGCACATGGGCATTATGGGGCTCCGCTCTGCAGTGACACCAGAGACGGGTGCGCGTCCCCACTCTGGTCCCTCCTGCCGTCGTCGCATGCAGTCAGGGCCCCAAACTGGCCATGCAGCTGAGGGCTGCTGGGACCCTGCTGAACGCACGCAGCCCTGCTGCTCTCCTCAGGGGTGCTGGCTGCCCGGGAAGCTAGATGTGGCCGCACATGGGCGCTGTGTCTGGATGGGCCCAGAGCCCAGGGCTCCCTGCATGGAGTCGGCATCCGGGGTGGCCGCCTTGCCATGCTCTGGTGGTGGCCCAGAGGCGGGCAGAAGGGCGGCTCCTGAGGATGGGGTGTGGGGACTTATCCCCCTTTGCGCCTGCAGCCTCGTGGTCACCTCGCTGTGTCACTGTGGGGTGGGTTTGTGCCCTGCAGTTCTGGGCTCCACTGGGGACCCTGGTCCCTCGCTCTGGCCCCTTGGGCCCAGGGCTGTGGGTCCCGGCATTGCCACCCTGGCTGCACCGTGCTGCTGGCTGCTCCTGTCTGTCTCACACACATCTGCAAGCGGTGCTTGGGGAGACCCTCCCGAAGGCCCCGCTCTCTGCTGGGCCTGCTGCGAGGAGCATGGCCGCCTGTTCCTGCCGCTCCACTCTGCTCACGCCCCCCACGTGTCACCTTCCCAGGGCGAGCAGCGATCCCACCGGGCAGGCAGTGAGGAGATCACCCCGCTGCGCCCCTGCAGTGCCCTGGGCAGACCCCTGTGCGCCCTCCACTGCAGACTGCTCTGCTCTCCAGGGCCGCTGTGCCCGGCTCAGTGGTGTCCCCAGGCCACTCCTGCCATCTGCAATTCCTGGTGCCCTGACTTTGCATCCAGGGAGGGACGTTCAGCCCACCCGGGCCCGTGTGCTGTGAAGTAAACATTACAAAGGGCGGTAATCCCGCCCCATGCTGACCCGTTACAGCTGACCTGACACTGGCGCCGTCCTGGGCCACCCCCATCGGGGCTGTGCACATGACAGCACGCAGCAGGGAGCAGGCTGGGGCATAGTCACAACAGTGATCACAATTGGTACACCTGTAATCCCAGCACTTGGGAGGCTGAGGCAGGAGGATCGCTTTGAGTTTGAGGCCAGCCTGGGCTACATAGTGAGACCCTGCCTCAAACCACCCACCCCACAAAAGTTGCTACATCTTTCTGCCCACTGTGTGTGGTCCTACAAGATTTTCTTTTGTGTTCTCTGTAAGTCTATTGGTGGCACCCACAGAGGCTGGGGATCCTGCATGTGAGGGTCTCCCGGGTGCGTGAGGAGCACTGTGCCCCTCATTCTGTTCTGCACTAGAGAGAGCAAAGCCGTGAGTCCTCCATCCCCAGGACAGGAGGCTGGAGCGCCAGGCCGCACAAGCTCTTGGCTTGGGATTTCAGCTCTGCGTCCTCAGCTGGGGCAACCGTGCGTGTTCTGGGAGCAGAACAGATGTCTGGAAGCTAGCACCAAGCCCCGGTCCATCTTTCCCTGTGTGACTGCGGGGAGTGCTGGCCTATTCCTGGGGAGCTCACAGCCCTCCCGGCAGCCTCAGGGGCCGGGGAAGCTGCACTGGGCCTGGCCCTTTCAGGTTTTGTGAAGTGTGAGTTCGCACCCGGGCCCTGGCCTTTTCCACTTTTAGAGCTGGTGACAGGGCTGCCAGGGCCACGTCCTGGGAGCTCAGGCCAGGGCTCCCTGGAGGGGCCAGAGATGTGCCCTTCACTGCCTTCAGACTCCAGCTTTGTCCAACCTCACTGGTTCTGAGTGTCACGTGAATGGAGGAGGGCAAAGGTGCAAATAACCCCAGACCAAGAAAATCCCAAGGTCCTTTCCATTTCGAATATTGTCAGAGCCACACTGCCAGGCCTGTGGCCCTGCCTCTCAGTCTTCATGTGCCCCTGACGGGCTCGGCGAGCCGCTCTGGCTCCTGGCTGCCTCTCTCCCATGCAGCCCCGGCGCGCTCAGCCCTGCCTGCCAAAGCCCGGCCCTGCTGGATGGGATCTGTGGTGGCCGCCCCCTCACAGGGAGCTCATTGCCCGCCTTGGCAGGCCTGGAGCGTCTCAGCAATTTGGTTTGGCCGGGCAGCTTCCCGAGCCTCGGTGACTATTCCATCATGCATTTATTTTTAAGCTTACGAGAACATTGACTCGCAGCCTTCTGTAATCTGAATCTGGCGGAACTGTGAGCCAACTGGACCCAAGCGTATGTCCTCATTCCCCCAAGGCTGACAGGCAAACTGGGAGGAGACAGATGTGTTCCAGGACATGGTCCTGCCTGGGGGCCGGGCAGAGGCTCAGGACAAGCTCCTGGGACAGGGAGGCTGCCCTGTGGAACGATGTCCCTGCCTAAGATTCTCCCTGTCACCATGCTGATGCCAGGCAGGGGGAGGTGAGGGCGCATGCTCTGTGGCACAACGACCACCTCAGACACGGCTCCCTTGGGGGGCTGAGCCTGTCTCCGAGAAAGGGGTGAAGTCACTGACTGAAGCCTCCGGGCAGCCATGTGCCCCCCTCCTTGGGCGAGATGACCCTGACCTCCGATACCCCGGGTCCACTCCTGTGGTGACCGTGGCCTGAGTGGAGTGGGTCTGCATGGCTAAGAGCCCACCCTTGGGAGCCAGACCTCAGAGTTTCAAAGCTCGGCCCTGCCTCTCGCTGGCTGTGTGGTCTCAGGCAAGTCAGGCAACCACCCTGTGCCTCAGTTTCCCTCCTTTGTCATGGGGATAATAAAAGTACTTGTCTCAGAGGGTTGTGTCAAGCACAGAGCAGACAACAGGGCAGCTGGGACTTCTATACCAGCAGCCAGCAGAGCTGAGGTGCTTTGAGGCCCTCCCCATGCACAACCTGACCTTAGGGGCTGGTCCCCCCTCCTTCCCAGCTGAGAATGAACGAGAGCCCCTTGTGTGATCTGGGCCTTTCCCTCGCACCTGCCTCTTTTGCTGGTTTGTGCTTAGACCCTGGGGCTGCGTGGATCGTGTTCTGGTGGGGGTGGGGGATCAGCACTTCTGCATGCCATGGTGGACCTGGAAGGTCCCCCCAAAGCCCCTGTTCAGATGTGGGGCTTTTGGAAGGTGATCGGATCATTGGGGGTGCTGTGTTCATCAGTGGATCCGTCTAAGTGTGCAGTTAGGGCCTGGTCAGAAGAGGCAGGTGCCTGGGGGCGTGAGCTGGAAGGGTCTGTCTCCTTCCCCACATCTTCTTTTCTCTCTGTGCTTCCTGCCCGCCATGCTGTGAGCAGCTCTCCTCCTCCTCCAGACCCTTCCACCATGCTCTTACTGCCCTGGAGCCCATCTACCGCGGACTGCACCCTCTGAAAACATGAGCCAAAATAAGCCTCTCCTTTGCATTGTGGGTGTCGGGTATTTTGTCTTAGCTATGAGAGAGTGACGAAGACACTGAGTCACCCAAACCTTACAGTCAGTTGTCCCTTCCCCCCCCCACAGGCGGGGAGGCAGTCAGCCCTGGTCTCCAGTTCCCTGACTCAGGCCCCTCCCGACTCATGTCAAACACTGTCTCGGTTTCCTGCGAGGAGCCTAAAAGCAGGACTGGTACAGCCCTGGTGGCCCCTGATGGTGTGGCCTGTCTGGCTCTGACCCTTGGATCACCCACAGGCGGTGCCCACCTAGGATGGTTTCCCTTGCAGTTATTTGTTTTTTACTTTGTGATGTGGGAAATCAATATGCACTCAGTAGGAACCATATTTTGGAAGTTTTGATCTTTTCTGGGGTCAGCAGTGTATGGCACGAGTCCCTCCTGTGAGGTGGACAGTGGCTGGCACTGTAGTGCTCATCAGCCCCGTGACAACAGGGTGAACCACAAGGATGCTATGGGCACTGTGCAGCTAAGCTGTCACATGGGGAGGTCAGGTGGATGAAATGCATTGTGATTGCCATAATCTCCAACTTGCAGAAGAAGCTTCAGGGGGATGTGACCCAGTTGCAAATTGTAATGCATTTTGTGTTAGCAGAGCCAGAGGTGGTGTCCCTGGGACGATTCAGCTGGAGAGGAAGCTGGGCAGAGTGAAGGCTGCACGGGACCCTGTGCCTGAGGGTTCCCGAGAGCGCATCTCAGCCTGGCCCTGCAGATGGGGCGCAGAGGGCCGGGTTGGGGGATCCTGAGGACCAGGGCGGCCCCTTCCCTCTCCCACTCACCTGTGGTGGTCCTGGAGCGGTGCCAAGCAGGCATGGAATGCTGCGGGCAGGAGTGCTCGCCCACCCTGCCGCCCCTTGGCTGTGCTGCGTTCAGGGCAGGAAGATCGCCGTTGCTTCCAGTGGGTGCTCTGACAGTGACCACAGCCAGGCAGGCGACACTGACCTGCAGCCTTGGGGACTCAGGGGAGGCCAAGTGGCAGAGGGGCTGGGCAGATGGCCCAACTGCCCCCCCTGCCTCTCCGGGCTGACACTCAGGAGGTCCTGCAGACCCGTGTGAAGCACTGTGGAGAAGCAACGTCCAGGGCTCAAGGCCCCGGGAAGGCCTAGTAGTGGCTCTCAATGGGAATTGTGCTACCTACGGAGATTTCTGAGCCAGACGGGGTGGCTCACATCTGCAGTCCCAGCACTCTGGGAGGCTGAGGCAGGTGAATTGCAAGTTCAAGCCTAGTCTGGGCAACTTAGGGACTTAGCGAGATCCTGTCTCAAAGTAAGTAAAAAGAAATTAAGTAAATAAGTAAATAAATAAATAGTCGAGGGATGTAGTTCAGTGCAAAGACCCTGGGTTCTATTCCTAATATCATACACACACACACACACACACAACCCCAAATCAGAACAACAACAAAAATCCAACCAACAAACCCTAGATCCCTGGGGCTGGGCCCAACCCCAGGGCCCCAGAGATTTTGACTCCTGGGGTTGAAGGGGCCTAGAAAGTTATAAACCCCAAACAGGCAGAATTCTGGAGGAACTGTTTGACCCCAGCTCGTCCTCAGAGACACTGCTGTCCACGGTCCTGTCCCCCATGGTCCCAGTCCTGGCATGCACCCGCCCTGGGGATTGAACTTGGGGTCTGATTCGTTGCCCCGGTGGGACCAGAGTTTGCGCTCCTTCTGCCTCAGGCTCCCTCAGTGCTGGGATTACAGGTGTGCATCACCTCGCCTGGCTGCCGTGGTTTCTGATGCATTTATTTGGGTATCATTGTCACGTCCCCACAGATCCGTGGACAGCAGGGCAGGGCCTGCAGTTGCGGGCCTGAAGTCCTTCCAAGGCGGTCTTTCCTCTGGGCTCTGCCCGGGGAGCTCCTCTTCCAAAGCCCAGGCCTGGCCAGCAGCCTGGCTGTCTCCTCTCGCTCTGTCTCCCAGAGCCCGCCCTGGCTCAGATCCACACACTGCCCCGGCCAAGGGTCCCTGGCTTGTCCCTTCCTGGGCGAGGCAGGATGTGATTTCCTGAGCAGGCCCTGCCCAGCTTCTCCATGCCCTGCCCCGCCCCGGCCAGGGCCTCCACATGGTCAAGGAGCTTCGACCTGTGCTGTGTGTACCAGGGTCCCACGGCCACCACGATGCCCCCACAGCACAGGACCCAGTGCCACTCAGTGTGGTTTTCATCTGTTCCCAAGCTCCCAAATCTGGTCGGGCTGAGCGAATGGATGTGAGGGGAAGCCGTGACATCACACTGCAAGCTCAGAAGAGCAGAGGGAGCTGGGATGGCAGGTGGTTGGAGTGCCTGCCTCCGGCACACACCTTTGTACTGCGGTGTGAGGTATTTCATGGCCAGTGGCAGGGACTCGTAGGAGCGCTGCTCGCGTGGCCCGAGGGGCTTGCGCACCGTGTGCTCGTGGCACCGCATCACGCTGAGATGGCCCCCGACCTGGAGCAGGAAGGGTTCCAGCCGCACGCCCAGCTGGGCATCCTCGGTGGCCTGCAGGACCATGAGGCCTGCGGTCCTTGAGGGGAAGGCGGGAGGCGGCGGCAGCTGCTCAGGGACTTGGGCTGGCCTGTCCTGCACCTGGGCCTCTGGGCTGCCCCTGGCCAGGCTTTCTGGAAAGCAGAGGATGGCGGTTCTGGGATGGCACTGGAGGGGCCGCACTGTGCAGGCTGCTCAATGCCAGCTTCCACCAGACTGTTGATGCGCACCGCTCATTTCTGGGGTGATCTTACCTCCCTGGAGCAGGGGAGAGGGGAAGACCTGAAATATTTTGAATTTAAATATTCAGACATTTAAAAATATCAAGCAGGGGGCCAGGGATTTAGCTCAGTGGTTCCGCTGCCTGCCTCGCAAGTGCAAGGTCCTGAGTTCAATCCCGAGTACCAAAAATAAATAAATAAATAAATAAATAAATATAAAAATAAATAAAAATAAAAATATCAAGCAACACAAACAACTGTAAACTCCAGAACTGTGTCCTAACCTCTCTTGGCCTGCTGCCTTCCTTTCTTTGGGGCATCGATCCCAGGACCAACCAGGGTCCCTGCTCTTAGAGAAAGTCACCATCCTACTGGCAAGTTTTATTTTTGCACAACAGAGCTATGCGCCATCAACTTACATCCTGGCTCCCTTATGTAACTGCTGTGTGACCTTGAGCAAGTTACTAAACCTGTCTGAGCCTCAGTTTCCCATCTGTAGAATGGCGTAAGGCTACCTACCTCTGCTGGAGTTGAGCACAGAATCGAGAGAAGGGTCGGGGAAGGGTTAGCCCAGTGCTCAGAGCCAAGAGCTCAGGAGCTGTGGGTGACATTCTGATTTCTAGCATTACTGCTGGACGGTCACAGCCCCCAAGGCTCTGGACTGCAGGAAAGGCAGATTTTATCGGCACCACGAGGTGGTCTTGCCTCCCCGACAGCTGGGCCTGGTGATCCGGCAGGGGCTGGAACTGGGCTGGAAATGCAGCCCTGAAGTTGTCCTGACTTTGTCTCAGGAGTGCGCCAAGATGACACTGCAGGGAGGCCCCGGCCACTGTGTTTGTCCTGTCACTGCCAGTTATTAATACCCTGCCCTCTGCTGGATTCCTGGCAGTGCGGCGAGCCGCCAGCTGTGGGCAATGATGACCTTCTGTCCAGGCCCGGCTCGGCCACTGGCTCGGTGCACAGTGGTGCCTGTCAGTTCATTCGGAGACTCCCGAAGCCGCCCGGGGCCTCCAGCCACACGGGAGCCTCCGCCTGAGCCCTTCATTTCCCACCAGTCCTGCGGACCAGGAAGTCCTGAGGAAAGGGAAGGGCATGGGCTCTCCCTGTCCCTGTGCAGGGCCAGCTGTGTGTCCCCTGGTGGTGCAGGGGCAGCCCCTTTGGGAGAAGCTGGCAGGAGACACATAGAGGGGGGTGGGTGGGGTGGGCCCACCTGTGAGCGGGGTCCTGGGCTATGGGATGAGGTGGCACAGGTGTGCGGCAGACCTGATCCGGCTTGTAAATTTGGAGAGAGCAGGAAAGAAGAGAAGCGCTGAGGTGCCCACGGCCCCTCTCCCCAGGCTCACGTGCATGGCAGCCCCTGCCAGCTCAGCTGTCCCCAGGCAAGGACACTTCTGGTGACCAGAGGGCTAGCTGTGAGTAGAATTCACCGACAGCCACTGCTGGAGCCTCAGCTCCTGCTTCCCACCGATTCTCTGAGTCCAGCCTCATACCACCAGGCTGGCCTTGTCGACCTGCACCAGCTGCACCCCTCGGCCATACCGGGCAGTCCCCTCCCCTCCTCTCTCCCTGCACCCCATCTCCCCAGGGTGCCCTAAGAATATGACTGTGGTGGAGCAGGGCCAGAGTAATGAGGTTAAATGGTGATGCATGCACACGTGCGTGTACACACACACACACACACACACACATACACACTCAGTGCTTGCTGTGTGTCAGGCAATGTTCTAGGTGCTCTGTGTAGATGAACCCATTCAAGCCTCACGACCATCTGATGGGTGATCAGGGTAGCAGCCCCATTTCACAGATGAGGAAACTGAGGCACAGAGGTTAAGAAACTAGCCTGGTGTGCCCGGCTGGCATGCAGAGAGCAGGGTCTGACCAGGCACACCAGCCGGCGGCGACTCACTGGCCATGTGACAGGAGGCCAAGGTTGTCACTGATTGTGTTGCAAGTTAGGAAGCTGAGCATTGAAGACGGGACTTGCAAAAGCCCAAAGTCACCTGAGTCCCTGGCAGTGCTGGGACAGGTGTTCTTGTCCCCCATGCCACCTGCTGGCGTTGAGTACATGTTATGTTGGGGTAGATGGAGGGGAGAGGCCCCTCCCTGGCACAGAAACCTTCTGGGGGCCCATGGAGGCCCCCAGAGCTCCGGCCGGGTCACCAGACCTGCAGGGCACGCTTCCTCCCAGCACGAACTTGGATCCTACAGAGGCAGACTCCTCCCCCCCGACGTCAGACGTTGGGGCCCTGGTTGTGTGTTCTCAGGGGACATGGGGCCCAGAGGGCCTGTCCCAGAGTAACAGTGCCGCTGTGGCCCAGCCCCGTGCCTGGTGGCAGCCTGTGCTCAAAGGAAAGCTGGGATTGACAGCCGGGAAGCTGAGGCCCTGATCTGCTGGGCGCCAGCTGAGGTCCGCTCCTGCCTGAGCTGTAGTCTGCGGCTCTGACCAGGCCTGGTGGGCAGGGAGCCAGGGAATCTCCGCATACTCAGGGCCCTCTGCGGCGCTGGTGACCTTGGATTCCCAAGCGAGGCTCGGCTTTCTTGGTTCTGCTTTCGTGCGTGGCCTTCAGCTCTGTGGGCTGAGCAGGGCCAGCCTCCACCCTTCCTGATGCTCTCCTGCAAGTGCCAGATCAGGGCCGCCCCTCGACAGGACCTTCCTTGGCCTGGTGACTCCTTTGCCACATGCAGTCACTTGTCTGCAGCTGGGCCTCGGCTCCTGCCTGTATTCTGCACCCTAGGAGCAGCAGCGGCAGGGAGTCAGTGGCCGGATCTGTCCCAGGCATCCCACAGGCTTGCTGAGGCCTAGGGTGAGCTGGGTGCCTGCTCTGGGCCTGGGTTTATGGCTAACCGCAGCTGCCACATCGACAGTCTAGGGTGACAGGACGCACAGGACTCCTGTGTGAAGTCTCCACTGCTCGGGCTTTGCACGGTGTGGGGATTCTGGGAGGCTCTGGGAGTCAGCAGGGCAGGGGAAGGCAGGGGCCACCTGCCCAGGGGCCTCAAACCCACCCGACAGGTGCTGAATGCCTGGAGCTCCTGTCGAGTTCTGAAGGAGACAGAAGTCCCTCTCTGCAGCCCATGGCGCTTCCCACAGCCACAGAGCCAGGCCCCTTGCTCAGCGTCCTTCCCGAGGGGAGCAGGTCAGGGAGGGAGGCGGACAGGCGGCCCCAGGTCCCTGTGTCCTCCTGCCCGTGTCACTGTGTGAGGCAACACCAGGTCTCACTCAGGGACACTCAAGGGCCAACTTCTGCCAGTGGGATGCAGCCACCAGGCTGGCACTGGGGGTCCCTGGGCTGGCTGTGTCAGGACAAACCCGCTCTGTAGCCTCATGGGGCCCGAGTGCCAGCCGGCTCTGCCTGGGTGAATTAGAGTGGACTGGCAGAGTGCGGACAGATGACAGTCCCAGGATTCAGGACCCCAGGACCTCCCTGATGTCGGGCACGATGACAGCTGCTGCCCACCAGGCCAAGGCGGGCCACGATCCCTGCTCTGTCACTGCACGTCTGCTGTGCCCAGTCAGAGGGGCAGGAAATGTGGCCCCTGGGACTCGCTGCCCTGATTAGGGGAGGTGGCTGTAAAACCAGAGCCATGCCTGTGAGGGTGCAGACTTGGAAGAGGGCTGTGGTCCGGGTCCTGCACTGGGCGGGATCGCAGCTTAGAAAGCAAGTGCGGCCACGTGATTTGCTTTGGCCAACAGAAGGTGGAGGGGAGTGACGGGAAGCTCAGTCCCCTCCGTCCATAGTGGTTCGGGACACGGGATCCTCTCAGAGTCCGGCCTGACTGATCCACCCGCTCACCGCCATTGCCCAGTGTGGAGCTCTTAAGTGGAAAACAACTCTAAGTGACTCAGGTACTCACTTATTGCCTGGCACAAACGTATTTCATGTAGCGTTCGTTCCTATTAAGCATAGACTGTGGGCCACTGGCTTCACAACCTCTGTTTTTCAAGGTTCTGGTTTTCGGGTGGAGAAACAGGCTCCCCAAGGCTGAGGAGCTGAGTCTAGGACCCGCGAGTGGGAGAGTCAGCTTCAGCCACAGGTCTCTCCTTCTGCAGTTGGTGCCCACGGCACCCACCTTACAGCCTGGCCATGCCGAGAGCGCCCGCCACGCCACTCCGGCTCCCTCTGGGCGCCCTGGGCCTAGGACGCTCTCCGCAGCTCCTGTCTGAGGCCCTTGCCACACCCGAGCCTCGGGACAGGCACCGTCCTGGAGGTGCCCTGGCTGGGGCACCGCCAGTTTGTGGGTGAGGAGTGGTCAGGACCCCCTACCCCCACCAGCAGTGGGCTCTGCAGACTAGGAAAGCAGGACCCAAGCAGCAGCATGATTTCTCCAGTGTATTGGAGCATTTTGGTGATTACCAAAACACAAATTCATTTAAAGGCATTATTGAATTCCTAGAGGTTTTTTGTCATCGTCTATTTTCTCAATCAACAGACACTAAAAGTATAATGAGTACTGCACAGGGACCAGTAGGAAAAAATGACGCTGAACAATGAGTCCTGGGGGCTGCAGGTGTCGCTCGGTGGTCGAGCGCCTGGCCAACCTGTGCGAGGCCTGGGCTCCATCCTCAGAAGGAGCTAGTGGGAAGGTGAGGGGAGCTATTGATCTGGGTGGAGAAGGGGTGGCTCAGGCCGGAGGCTGGCTCAGCCTGCTGCAGGGCAGGGTGGGTGAGGAGCCATGGGGATGGGCCTGGAGGGCGGGCGGGGTTGAGTGGAAGCAATCGGAGGGGCCAGACCAGCCCCACCCCTTCTCCTTCCCAGGTTGCTGCAGCCCCCCATGTCAGGGAAGAGGTTTTCCGGGGTCCCAGTCAGCCCTCTGAGGCCTTGCCGCCTTCCGCAGCGCATCCCTGTAAATCTCAGGTGCTGGGAAGGAGATGACTGAGGTAGCCCTTGCAGCAGCAGCAGGCTGCAGTGGCACGTGGCAGGCCGCACAGTTCCAAAGCAGCATGGTTTATGGCCTGTCCTCCCGCTCCCAAGCTCTAGCGTACGTCTCACAGGCCCCTCAGAGCGGAGGTTCGGGACAAGTACCATTCAGTGTCCTTGTGATGCCCAAGGGAGCATTTTTTAATCTATTAGAGAGGCGAGAACTGAAACCCATTTAAAAGTGCTTAGGCCGTAATGGGCAAGAGAACTTGGGAGCCTCTCACGTGGCCCGGGGTTGGCGTCATCTGGGGCCATCCAGGGCGGAAAGGCACACGCTTATTTTCCAGAGGGGGAAAAATGGCATTTTGAAACCCATTCTAAAAATGACTCCAGGGCGGGCGCCCTCCCTGACTGCTCCCGCTCGGTGGGATCGATACCAGGCGCTGCGGGACTTCGCACATCACCTTCCGCGCTGTGGCTGAAGTATGTGCTTTTGGAAAGCATCTGTTTTGTGGGGAGGCTGGATGTCCAGAATCATACAGCAGTACGTCATCTTCTGCAGCCACGGAAACTTATTTCGGGGCTGATTTTATCTTTTGAGAGGGGATATTCGCCCCCTTCTTTTCTTAACATTTAAAATCTCCAGACATTTTTCCAGCTTGGGGACCAAATTCGATTTTAATACAGCGTTTATTAGTTTAGAAGCCCTTCAGCCACTGACAGGTGTACTCGGCCTCACCAGCAGTGTTCCGATCTTGCTGTCGAGGTGGGGGACCCGCGGGGTAGAGATGACTCCCCCAGCAGGCGCTGCCGCCCCGCGGGACCCCACCCTTCAGACAGCGCGGCTGCCGCACCCTCCCCTCGCTGCTCCCGACCTCGCCTCTTGAAGCTGCGCCCAGGTCTTGGACGTGGGCAAACACGCAGCCCTACCCGCACGTTTCCCAGCCCCGACAGGCCTCTCCACGAGGAACGTTGACGGAACGGCCACCTGTCTTGTGGCAGCAGCCTGCGAGCCAGACGCGCGGTTCTGCCAGGGTTAGCACTGCAGTCGTACGGCCCCAAGAAAGGGACAGCTTTTTAAGGTCGGTACAAAATAACGTGTGACTCGCACACGTGTGTGTGTGTGTGTCTGTCTGTGTGTCGCCTGGGTTTGTTTCTCACCCCAGGGTCTCCCTGGCCGGCTCTGAAGTGAATCTCTTAGCACTTGAGCTGCTCTCCAGCAGAGGGCAGCAGCCCACACATGGAGCCAGGAAACCCCAGAGGGATTAAGGCGGCTGAGAGCTGCACCCAGCACCCGCCACACTGGCTCTGCCCAGGCCCGTCCCCGAGGGCCCGGAGACAGCTGAAGTCCTCCTGCCTCTGTGAGCCAGGAGTCTTTAAAAAGCTCAGCAGCCAGCCAGCGTGGTGGCACATACCTGTCACCCCAGCACTCCTGGAGGCTGAGGCAGGAGGATCGAAAATTTGAGCCCAGCCCAGGGCAGTTTAGCAATTTAGACCCTGTGTCAGACTTAAAATAAAAGGGCTGGGGGTGTAGCTCAGTGCAAAGGCCCTGGTTTCCATCCCTAACACCCTCTCCCCAGAGCCAAAACTGCCCAGAAGTCACCAGGACCCTCTGGTCACCACTCACTGTGCCCCAGCTTCACCAGCCGGGAGGAACACCGGCCAGCAGGGGCTGTGGGGCACTGAGACCTCATCTGAGCAGAGTGGAAAGCCGTCTCAAGTGAGCCCCGCTCCACAGGGCCCAGCGCAGGGTAACCCAGCCCTTCCGCACCAGCAGGCCCCGTCCTGGTGGGGGCAGAAGCAGCACCTGGCCGAGCCGCCGCCGCCAGCACTCTGTCCTCCCCTCCTCTCTGCTCCCCTCCCCTCCCCGGCTGCCTAGCGCTCATAAAGTTTATTGCTGTTCCCTGCGGCTGCCGGGGAACAAGACAGCAAGCATACGGATTTCTGCCTGGGAAGGATTTATTCAAGTACCTCGCTCAGAGCAGGAGGGCACGGGGGACGCTGCTGGCAGCCAGGTAGGCCCAACCTGGCCTGCGCCCAAGGATGCAGCAGGATGGGGTGGGGGCTCCCTCAGCCACCAGACTCCCTCAGGCTTGTTCAGGTCTGTGGGGCAGGCGCCAAGGGAAGTGGCGCAGGAGGTGACCAGGAGACCTGGTCCTGCCTCGGTCTCCGGGTCCCTCCTGTCCGTGCCTCAGTTTCCCTCATGTTTGTGTCTATGTGTCAGCCTCCCAGGCTCCCCCACAGTAAGGCTCTGGCGATGGGGCCTGGGATGGTTCGGGCCCAAGCGCGGGTTCACTCCAGGGCCTGGAAGAGCCTCAAGGATCCGAAGACCCTGCCCCTGCCCAGAGCAGCAGAGACTGCCGGGTGTGGGAGTGACTTCTGCCCCGCAGATGCCCCCTCCGCTGCGGACACCTGCCCCCAGCCCTCAGCCACTGCCGTCATCCGCCCCGTGGCTCCGGGGCGGTGTGGGGATAGGACGTGCCGGTCCTGGGAAGGCACCAGGGCTGCTGTGGCTTTTCCTGGACACCAGCCCTCGGGAAGGGCCAACCCATGGAGAGCAGAAGTCCTGGGCCTAGCCCCTGCGCCTGCCGCCTGCAGCTTCCTCTGTAGTCCCAGCTCAGTGCAGCCTTCCTGCCTCCATGTTGGGGACAGAGGGGGCGTGGCCTGTCAAGAAGGGGGCTGGGAATTACCTGGGGGAAGGGGAGCCATGGAAGAGGGGGCTCGGGGGTCTGTATGGCTGGTCTGTCCTCCGTCCTCACCCCAGGGCACACACAGATACGCAGCCACCGGTGCCTTCACAAGGGGGTCCTAGCTGGCCCCATGTGGAGATGAGACCCCCGTGGTGGGAACCTCAGTCCCACCTGAACTGGGCCGGCCCCCAGGGAGTGCTCAGCAGGCTCCTCCGGGGTGAAGCATGGAAGAAAGGGGTCCTGCTTTTCAGTGCCCAGTGTCTGTGGGCACTGGGCGGAGCCCTGTCCTGGCTCGGAGCAGCTGCCTGTGAGTGCCAGCTGGAGAGGTCTGCTCAGGAGGGCTGCGCTACCGGTGGCCTGGGTGGAGAGTTCACCTGACACCAGGAAGGGCTTGCAGGGCGCCGTGACCAGCTGCTGGCTGGGTGCTGCCCGCTGCATGGGGCAGGGCTGGGGTCAGGGGGGAGGGAGGGCGAGGAGGAGGAAAGGGGGAGAGCTCAGCTCAGCTGCCGGCTGGGGGCCAGGCGGCAGCACCAGGGGACATTGCCTCCGGGTCCCTGGTTTTGTGGTTTCTGTTTTTCTGTTCGGAGTATGGAGCCCAGGGCCTTGTGCATGCTGAGCTGTGCTGTACGCCTGAGCCTCACCCCCGGGCTCCCTGGCTACTTCCTGAGCCCTGTTCAGGACCAAGGCAAGGCCACTCAGCTGACAGCCCACGGAAAGCGTGTTATGAGCCCCACCGAGTGCCAGGCCCAGGGCTGGGGCCGACCAGGCACCCACTGGGCATGCGGTTCGGGGGGACTTGGGGGCTCAGACACATGTCCAATGTGAGCACTGTGCGGGGCAGGGCGTGAGTGCAGGAGGCGCCCCACCGAGCTGGGGAGGCAGGAGTGGGGTCACTGGGCGCGTGGTGGGGTCTAGCCGAGGAGGGACGAAGGCCCAGGCCAGGAGGCTGAGGCTTCGGGGACGAGGAGCGGGGAGATGGGGAGGCCTCGGACCCCCCTGGCCTTCCTGCAGGGGCTGGGCCGCCTGCTGCCACGAGCCAGGCTGCACTGAGCTCGGCACGGGCTCTGCTCTGGGACAGAGGCGGCTGACAGGGGCCAGCAGGGTGGGCAGGGCCGGCGAGTCTGGGGCAGGGAGGGGGCGGCTGGATGAGTTCCAGTGACCCTGCAGGTGGGGACAGTCGGCCCTGCAGGAGCCTCAGGATGGCCTGAGGCCAGCGCTTCCGGCGGCTCAAGCCACCCTGGGCACTGGGGCCCTGTCCCTTTGGCCTCTGCACGTGTCACCCGCCTGGGAGGCTCAGCCACAGCCCAGGGCTCTCGGGCCCATCCCTGTCTCCTGGTCCCCGCGGACCTCTGGGCAGGGCATCAAGGCACAGCGGCTGGCATCCCACCTGGCACCACACGGCACTCACTTCTCCCTTCCCTGACCGGAACCCTGGTCCCCTGGCCCTGGCTGCTGGCTGGGTTTGCCCTGCAGTGCCCTCTGTGCCCCCAGGGGCCTGGCCTGGCAGGATGGGCTCCCTGGATGTGGGGAGCAGGCCCAGCAATTGGGGAGCCTCCTGCCTGGCAGCTTCCCTGGCCGCCCTCCCTTCCCATCTCCACAAGGAATCCTCTGCTGACAGTCGGGCACCCAGGTGTTCAGTGCTGCCCCACAACAGGAGTCCTGGGGTGCCCAGCAGTGGCCTGGGGTTCCCGTGTATGCCCCCACCCGGCCCAGGGAGGGTGTGCTCTGTCCCTCCTACGGCCATGTGCAGCTGCAGTCTTGCTTGTGCAACCTGCTCCCTGAGAATCTGGTTTCCGGTTCCCAGCCACTGAAGAGGGTGTGACCTGCTTTCGCCGGCCCTCCCTACGCCCTGCCACCCCTCCTTCCTCTCCTTCCTGGCTGCACCCAGATCCCGTTCTGGAACCCTGGAGCCACCACAGGGTGAAGTGGGGGCCCCTGGGGGTCTGCAGGGGAAGGGACTTCCCAGCTGGGCCAGGTGGCTAGAAGCTGCCCCAGCATGGACGGAGCCCGGGTCTGGGGGGACGGCCGGGCCGCATTACGTAGCTTGCTTTCTATTTCGGTGCTGTTGTCATGGGTTGTGCATGGACTTGTTACTCATCTACTTATTTGACAACATTTTTGAGCCCTAAATGTATGACAGAGACACACAGCGGTCACAAAACACTCTGGAGCTGGCAGTCGGCTTTCTGTTATGCAATCAAATAGGTTGCTCTGTCTCTGTCCTCCCACAGTGGCCAAGCTCTCTCCATGGTCATTCTTCCCAGGCTCAGCTTCCTTCCCGAGATCCCGCTGCCAAGCACCTCCCTGCGGCCATGTCTGGGCACCACCTCTGCCAGCCCACGACTCCCACTGGCTGCCACCAATGCTGCTGACTTTCTGGGGTTCCAGTAAAAGCTCCTCCTCCCTCTGCCCACTCCCCTCTCCCACACCCGGCTCGGTGCCCACCCTCTCCCTTCCCGCTGCCACCCCACCACCTGTCACCTGCCCCATACCCTGGGAAGGCAGATAAGATGTCAGGTGAGACACCCGAGCCGTCAAGGTGAGGGCCCTGGAGCCCAGCAGCCTGCAGATCTCCCAGTCACAGCTGTGTCCCGCAGGCCTGACCTGGCCCGGGTGCCAGCTCCACTGGCAGCCTCTAGCCCAGGGCTTGGAGCCTGCCGGGTTGTCTGTTGAGCTCCCTCTGGTCCTGGACAGCCACAGGAGCCATCAGTCCACAAACTGCAAGCCCAGGACACGCTCTCTTGGCCTGGGAAGCAGCAGGGTGAGCATGTGCTGCTGGGCGTCTCTTTTGCCCGACAGCCCCCGTGTCTCGAGAGGAAGCCTCTGTGGTGCAGCAGCAGAGGAAGGGGGCACTGGGGTCCTTGTCCTGCCAGCGAGGTCCAGGTTGCCACCAGGAGACACTGCTCCTGCCTAAGTTTTAACAGCTTTGCCAGCTCCATAGAATCCGCCAGGCCTGGGCGCTGGAAGGGCCCCGCAGCCCTGGCGCTGTGCTTTCACTTTGCACTGCAGGAGCCGCAGGGTGAGGCTGCCAAGGCAGGAGAGACCCACCAGAAGGACCCTCCTGTGGCAGCCACTGCAAGAGCCGGGCTTGAACCTGCAGCCCATGAAGGCCAGCTCCTGTCTGCACCCACTGGACTGTGGTGCCCAAGCCAGGCTTGGCTTCCTCATCTGCAACCAGGGCGGGTGTCCTCGGGGGCTCGGTGACCTTCCAGTGGCATCATATAAGTAAGAAGCCTCTGACGTGCATCTGACGCAGGCCCCTCCTTCACTACTGTTGTTACTGTGATTGGAGACAGCGAGCCAGGTCCCTCAGGCGTGGGCTCCACCTGGGGACCCGTGGTGGCCACACCTTCTGACCCTGAATTCTGATTCCAGGCTATGTCGTGGTTCAGGATATTTGAATCTGGGGTGGTGGGATTGTCCCCCAAATCTAGGACACATGAGGTGTTATGGGAAGGCTAATCTACTTGCTCCATGTGTGTGTGTTTCTGTGTATGTTTGAGGGGTGCAGGCCTCCTAGGAGACAGGGCATATAAGCTGGGCTTTGCAGGGTGCATAGGAGTCCCCAGGCAAGAAGTGAAGGCAGGACATAGAAGAGCGAGGCATTTCTGGGGGTGGAGTGGAGAAAGGTGCCCATACGCCTGCTGGAGGCCAGGACTCTCCCACTCACACAGGAGCCCCTGGAGGCCCAGGGAAGGGTGCTCCCCGGAGACCTCTTGGGGCAGGGGACGCCCACTAGTGCCAACCCCGCAGGCGAGGGCTGACTTGTCGGCTGGGTGGTGGGAGCTGAGGGCTGCACACATGGACCCCTCTCTGGAAGGAGTGTCCAGGCCGGGCTGCAGAGCGAGGGGCAGACGACAGGCCCAGGGCGGCTTGCTCACGTTATCTATGGCTGTTTCTCGGGAGTCGTTCAGGGCCGCCAAGGTAATTGAGTAAGTGAGCTGGAGCAAACGTGGGTGATCATTTAATTGTGGCAGAAAATGCAGTTGGTGGGAGCCAGGGGCTGCCAGCCCATTACCGCCGCCCGGTTTCTGCTGAGCTGGGCACCCGGGGCTGCGTGGTGTCCATCCTCCTTGGCGGCTCCTGCCCTGGCCTGGCAGCCGGCCCTGTGCCGGGTGTGTCGGGGGTGAGGGAATTGGTTCTCTGGGCAGCCTGCTCCCCAGACCCCTCTGTGCCCTGGGGAAGACAGTGCAGGGGACTGGGGACCTCTGGAGGGCAAGGGCAGTTTGGGGCCCTGAGGCCAGAGCAGGTTTCACACTTGACAACAGAGTCAGTGGACACAGCGATGCCCCGCGCCGTGCTGTTCTAACTGCTGCTCTTGGACCCTCCATGGCCTTGTGGAAGGTGCTAGAGTTACCCCGGATTTCAAAGTTCTGAGGCTGGAAAGACAGGGGGCTGCTTGTAGGCCTGGCCAGTGCTGTCCAGTGCTCTGGGCCTCCGGGCCTCGAAGCTGGCATCCTGTCCAAGTCTTCCCAGGAGGAGATAAAATTAGTCCTGGGCTGGGGAAGCCGCCACAGCCCGGGGCATTGTCGGGAAGGGATGAGCCCGGGAGACCTCAGGTGCATCCCCGTAGCTATGGTGACCAGAAAGCAAATTAAAATGTAAGCTGCTCCTTACATCTGAATTTCAGGCAGACAGCAAGGGATTCTGTGGAAGGACATTTATTCCATGGGGCTCCAACTCAATGGTCCTGTGTTTACTTGGTGGGGGCTGCAGCCCCAGCCTCAGTTTCCTCACCTGTCCGGCAGGGTGCCGATGCCCCTGCAGGGCTCTCACTGCCCGTGGTGAGGATCTGGAGACCCCGGGCTCCTCTTCCTGAGCGCAGATGGTGCCCACTGCCCGCCCAGGCTCTAGGCATCTGGCATCTCATCCCAGGAACAGCGGGG